ATGGACACTAGGCCTGAGGCGATGAGGGTAGGTAGTTCGTGGCTACCAGTAGCACAGGGAATCATCACTCATGTAGCTAGGTGGCGAATCGTCTGGCATGTGGCTAGCTTTGCAGGTGTTAGGGCAGAGAGCAGCTGCGATTGAAGCCGCACTGGCAAAGTGTGGCCGCGGACAAGTCTAAGGCCAGCTGGGCAGGGACCTTCCCTCAAAGTAGAATAGGCGACTACAACTCAATAGAAATGGACTTCTAGTGCTGATGAGCATCCCAAGACGACGATAGGCGTCCACAGTTTGAAGTCTGGGAAATACTTCCATTCGAGGAAGAATTCCAAACAGCTCAGGGCGACTGCAGCGTCGTAGGCTGGAAACACCGGGAAGAAGAAAGACAGCGTGGAGATGTAGTCAGGCGGTAGGGTCACGCACTCTTTCAGGAAGCTCTGCAGGTAAAGGATGCAGGCCTGCAGATGCTGACGCAACGGCTCAAGTTCCACAGCGTCTAGACAAAGGCTCCGGCCTAGCAACGCCCAGGGGTTTAGGGTTTCGGGTTTAGGTTTTTTCCCTCCTGCACAGCTGGGGCGAATCCGCATCGCAGGGCGATTTCGAGTCCGACTGGGGTTTACGGTTAGGGTTCCTGAACACAATCTAAGACAAAACAGGGAACGATGCTGAAGCCTTTGCTCAATCAGGTTCCAAGTCTAAGATTGCCTCAGTTAGGCATTTTCCTCAAACAGTTTACCGCGCGTGGTCTTGATTTTAACCAAGAAAAGAAGTGCCTAGCTTCTATTTTCTTGTCTTTGCCGGCCGAGGCTTTCTTGAGCTTGTCTCCCTGTTTGCCTCCCTTGACTCCCCAGGCGCTTTCCTGTATGGAGTCGTGATTCTGACACAGGCTCCTTGCCAAGGGTTTTTGGAGGCTTCTCCCCTCAGAGGCGGTAACACGGAGTCCAGGGGGCCCAGGAGGACGGGTTTCCCAAAATAGGGGTACCCGTTCTGGGGGAGTTCCTATACTAAGGGATATGATATCTTGGGAGGGTATATTGGGGTCCCGATGTTGGGAAATACCCTGGTCGCCCCATGTGCTGAAGGGCTTGCAGCGAATACCTCCTGGCTTGAACTTAAAAGGAGGGTTTAGGGTTCAGGGTTCAGGGTTAGACATTCATCTGATTTTCTGAAAACGTTCGCCACACATTGTGAGGCACAAGTGTCTTTCTGACGGGGGTGTTGCTTCGATCGGGCTTCCACTGTTTGGGATCTTCGGTGGTGTCATGCCCCCCTGAGCTCCAGGCGAATATGACCACAATTGACCATGGCCCCAGTGAGTCTGCGCCATCTGCAGCCAACAGCCAGGATCCAAGCTCTGCGAGGGCATGTCCAGCATGAAATGCCAGCACGACCTCTACAGGACTCCCCACTGCAACAGCTATCATCTTGCATGGTTTCCTACCTACGATGGCCCTTACAACCCACCCTCCAAAACACATTCCTGAAGATCCTCTTAAACCCAAAAAGGGAAAATCTAAAATGACAGAAGGGCCTACCGAGCTACGTGTAGCCGCAACAATCTTGACCCTTCCTAGCTAGTTGCTGGTAGGGTGGGCTTTGCCTGTTCGGCTCGGGCAAGAACCCTCCGACGAAATGACTCCCTTAGCAGCGGCGACTGGGGAGTACATGCCCTGAACCCTTGAGCCCGGTCTGAGAAAACCCTACACCCGAAGCCCTCAACCCTAAACCCTAAACCCTGCTGCGTATTGGGAAGGGAAACGTGAGCTTGGGGCATAGCAGGGATTGGCGCAACTTGAGGCATTCTATCATAAGCCCGTGCGGCCGAAACCAAGAGCAAGGCCCACTCGCCGCCGTAGTCTCGCAGCAGTATTATGAGCGCAAGGTGGCAGGCCAGGAACGACCACACCAAGTAGTAGGCCTGAGGGTGGTCAAGCATGAGGACCCCCTGTGCACCCCCCGATGTGCCCCCAAAATCTTCTGATCGGTCCGCTGAGCTGAAGGATGCGAATCTCACACAAAATCAATGGGTGAACCTGCGTCTACTTGCTTAGAAGATGTGAGGGGCCCCCTGGGCTGCGATACCAGTGGCCGAACAAGGCTCCAGAATTGAGAAGACCACACCTCGGGTCAAGTAATTCTCGCAGCGGATGCTTGAAGACCAACATGCACGTAGAGCAGCACTCAGACACAAGACACACAAGCGGACGTGTAAGGGCATGTGCCATGTAGTTCTATTGTGCCCGTCCCAGCTGACTGCCATGCCAGCTTTCGACAGCTTAGCCGCCAAAGGGCCACTCAAGCAACCCACAGCGATGACCGCCATTCCGCGAGTTGCCTGCAACAAGTCGCCATGTGAGGTAGAGCCCAGGAAGGAGCATGTGGGCTGGCTTTGCCACCGCCTTCTTCTTATCTGGGTATTCCAGCTCATCGTAGAATCGAGTGGGCGCAGGTGGCCTGGGCAGGAAACAAAGAGTGCCAGACTTATGGCCGTCCTCAGATCGTCTCCAATTCGGGAAACTCGGCACCCGACACCACGATCTTGCCTTTTCTCGGTTCAGGCAGAGTAGGAGGGGCAGTGTAGCGTGGATTGTGAAGTTGAGCTTGCCACCGCTGAATCCTCAGCGCCCACAACCGTGCTGCCAAGTCCAAGCCCGACTTCACATGAACCGTCCTTGCCAGTCTGTTCATGTCTTTTCGCACGATACTGTTGAGTTAGGTTTTTGGCTATGCCGCCATAAACTTTCACCTGATCCGTCATGTCCATCCTGGTCAAGCTCAAAAGCCATGCCTTCCGCCCGTTTGCTGGCCAGATAGGCACTGCGCGTGTCGCCCGAAGTGATGCGCCCTACACAATCAAATTAAGACCCTCAACCCTAAACCTTTTTGAACCCGGTCTGAGAGCCATGCCGGTACCTGCCAGCGAACCCTAAACCCTAAACCCTTAGCTCAGTGAAGCATCCCGCCGGCCGACCTTGGAGGACTTTCAGATCTTTCAGCAAGCTGCTCTGCAGGCGAGCCACTGCTGCATTCGCTGCCGCTGCTGGGCGACGTGCATCCTTGTTTGGGACAACTCCAGTCGAGGAGGCTGCCAGGGTTCTCGTGACAATTATTTGCAGTTCTGGACCTGCCCCCAACTTTCCGGTGGTGCGGTACAAGGAAGACGTTCTTTTCCTGGCCTGCTTTCAGGGGTCCTGGATCCTGGGGCCCAAGTAGCTTCAAAATCGCTGAAGGGACTCCCTAGCCGGCCCTAGCCTGTTGGAAGCACTGCACTGGGGCTTCATGTCCCACGATGCGGGGTATTAGCTCTGTACTCGTGGGGCGTCTAATCGTCTAAGTCTCCGCTGCATCATCAGCTCTCTTTGCCGCAGCTGCTCCATCAGCGCTGCAGGGCCTGCGCCGTCCTCCATCACATGTTTGAGATGCTGCTTCCTTGTCGTCATAACCCTAAACCCTAAACCCTAAACCCTAAACCCTAAACCCTACTGCCAGGAGCTCCTCCGGCACCTCCACGCCCTCCTTCGCCGCCAGCGCTTTCAGCGCGGCGCTGTCCGGGCAGAAGCACAGGCCCTGCCTTCCGGGTTTCTTGCAGCCCCCAGCTTCATCCCACCGCCGGATCGAGGTTAATATCTTCATATCGTGTCTCTTGAGGGATTCACAAGCAGGATTCAGGGCAGGGGCAACAGCAAGAAGCCACGCAAAAAAAACGAGTGCCAGGAGGAGTGCTAGTGATGGAAAAGCTAGATGGTCAGACACAAACTGCCGACGTCCATGCTTTCGTAGATGCACATCATGTAACGGGCGGCCCACGGTGGCCCAAAATGAAGAATCCTGGCCTCAGCACTGCAGTAGCAGCTTCAGCGTGGCCCATCTCCTGGCAAAAGAGCCTAAGGCCTTTTTTCTTTTTTGCAACTGGGCTTGCAAACACGCCCTACCTTAAACCCTAGACCCTAAACCCTAAACCCTAACATGTCCTAAACGCACGTGATCCCACAGTCGTAGAAGCACGCAGGAGCGAAGGCCTCCTACAGCAGGACCCCCCCCCCCGGGGGCCTTAAACTCCTCGTACTTCTGAAGGATGGCAAGGCCCCGGTCTGGCGCCTCAGCTTGCACACAGAAGAAGAAGAAGAGTGCTGGCTATCATAACAGTAGTAATAATGATGGCACTAGTAAAAGAAATAAGAATAATAATAATAATAATAAGAATAATAAACAATAATAATAATAATAATAACCCCCTACCGACCCACGAAGCCTTTGCCCTTCTACTTGCTCTTGAGAGGCAGCGTTGGCACCAGTGGCACTTGCCGAAACCTGTGAGGTTGCTGGCACGTTCGGCTCCTCTGGCTCCGACTCGGTCACGGACTCCGTGTCAGGCTCCGGAGGTGGGCCGTTGGGCTTCGCAGACTCCTCGGTCTGACTGCACGGCGGTTCCTCGGTGCTCGGGGCATCTTGCTCCGGAACATCCTGCTCAGGGGCATCTTGCTCCGGGGCAGCTTCTGCACCAAGCTTCTCGGGGCTGTGGTCAGCGACATCGTCGGTCGCTGGCTCAGGCGGCGCGCGCAAAGGCTCGTCCTCAGCCTTTTCGCCCTCTTCCTGCGCCAATCTATCCTCCATGGCAGACGCCGGTCACAAGCATGTCACTGCATCACCACGGAGCTTGAACTTGGAGACAGCTGCGGTCGGCACATCTTTTTTTCATCTTGCAGTACCGCTAGTACAGTAGCCTTTGCACAGCTGCTCCGCTCCTCCCTCGCTACGCCTACAGCACAACAGAGCTGAATCAAGCATTCAAAAGCACACACGGGCCAGGTCCCAAAACTGCACGCAACAGAAGACATCAAGCCTATGCGCAGTATACATTGGGATGTTCTCCCTTATGCTAACAACCCTTATTAATATAGGGATGATAGTAGGGGGTACTATAATCCCTATTAAGGAGCTGTTAGCATAAGGGAGAACATCCCAAAGTATACAGAGAGCAGGCCCCGTCACCCAGGTGCCTGGAGCCTACCGAGCGCTTGCCGATTCAGGCGCTTCATCACGAGATCCTGAGTTCGGCTGCAAGGGCGAAAGCAAACGGAGGACGCTGGAGCCCTTCACCGATTCGTTTCACTCTGGCCGCGGCATCGCGGTAGTTCAGCGTTGCGAAACTCCTCTCAAACAGGCTGACCAAAGTTCAAATCCAGAGCCATCACGGGCAGCGGACGCAGCAACCAAGCAACCAAACCGCTCCAGGCACTGATGGCAAGGTTCGCCGGGCTGAACTCTTCCATCTGTGAGAAAAGCTGGTGGCAGATGCCTGCCTCGGCCGCAAACTGGTGAAGCAAAACAAGTCTACCAGCAAAGGTATCGATGAGCTCATCAGCAAAGGTATGCCCCAAGCCAGCAGTCGGTTGTCGCGGTGGTTCAGCCTCAGACTCTTCTGACTCTTGCAATGCTAACTCAAAATCTTGGACAGCCAGCTCTAATCCCCTCCCCCTTATATACATATATACCCCCCCCCCTTAACCCCTAATATGAAATACTCCCATGATAGTTATATTATAGCAAATGCCCCAGTATATCAGGGGCTGGGAGGGGGGTTTGATATTAGGGGGAGGGGATTGTTGGTAGGAAGAAGCAGCGACGCTTGTTCAGAGGCCGTGGCACAGCCAAGGACCAGCTGAGATCCGTCAGAGCCTGCATTGAGCGGATGAGGAATGTGGCCCAATTGGCCCACATGTGACCCCACGTTCCTCCTGTCCGCTGCCCAACCATGACAGACATGGGGATTTACGACAATAGGGGACCCCTGAAATAGACCCCAAGTAGTAGGAGAACCCCCAAAACAGGTACCACCCCCCCCCCCCCCAAGCATGACTTCTGGCATTTCTGGCTGGAAATCCCTAAACCCTAAACCCTGAACCCCAAGTTTCGACGCAGGCGCGCAGCCCCCTGGCATGCCGGTCAGCAGCGGCGCAGGCGAGATATGTACATGGGCCCGTACGGTGTTCGATCAGGCAGAATCAGGACCTCGCCATGGTCAGCAATACTAATAATAAGAAGAATAGTAATTAGTAGTAATAGTAATAATGGTAATAGTAGTAGAAATAGTAATAGTCGTAATAATAGAATAATAGTAATAAGAGTCGTATTGATATAAATAATCCCGTGAGTCTTCTAAGGGCCGGGCGCCGCACTTGGTCGCGTCAGCACCCTGCAGTAAACGTGACGCATCGTCAGAGAAGGTGTCCAGCTCAAAGCCCTTCCCAAACTTCTTCAAGAACTTGGCCACGACGCCTTGGTCGGGCTCTCTCGTCTCACAGGTTCGAAGCACACAAACCCAACGCACATATCAGCACAAATCCCACAAAGCAGCAGCCCGTGTTCGCGGCCAAATTGAGGGCAAGGCCGTCATTCTCCGCTTCCGCAAGGGCACAGGTGACATACAGCACCAGGCCACCAGGCTTCACGAGGGCGGACGCTGCACGCAGGAGCTCCTCAAGACCATGGGATGCCTAAACGTCATAAAAAGGGGAGACCCAAGCGTGGTTTAGGATCCAGGGGTTGTTTTTGGTACACTTCCAGGGGTTAGGGTGTAGGGAGAGTCGGAACAAACTTGGGGTGTACATGGTGCGGAGCCCACACCCTGCAAGGCATCCGAAGCCACACTGTGAATCTGAACCGAGGCTTGACCCATGTCCTGTCCTGAAGCTGGCCCCAAACACCCCAAAACCCTAAACTCCCTAAACTCCCTAAACTCCCCAAACTCCCTAAACTCCCTCAACTCCCTCAACTCCCTAAACTCCCTAAACTCCCTAAACTCCCTAAACTCCCTAAACCCTAAAACCCTAAGCCACCAGGCTCCAGCTGTCGCTCCGCGTTGGCCTTCACGGCCCCTTGAGCCCAGTGCGCCAGGGCCGAGTTTTGGTGTACCAGGTGCCGATCCTCGGGCACTCCATGATCTCAATGGCTCACGACCACAATAGGAGCTAGAAGAGCATAAGGAACCAAGTACTCAGAGCAAAATATGCTAAGCAAAAGGAAGAACAAGCACAAGGCACAGGTTTAAAAGCCTCCTGTCAGCTCAGCGTCAGAGGTACAGGGAGCATCCACCAAGACCCGATCGAATGGAGCTAGGCGCTGCAGAGGCACCGGTATGGATCCAGTGGCAGCATCGACATTCACCAGGCTGACGCATCCGGTGGCACCTGCAAAGGGGAAGGGTGCGCTCAACCCCGCAAAGTCAGAGAACAAATGTACTAAGCAAGGGAAGCCTGCGACCAGCATCTCTGACGGCAGAAAGGACGAGACCACCTTGTGCAGTCTCGCCAGTCGAGGGCGCGACATCTCGTTGCAGATCAGCCGCCCGCCGGGCGACTCTCCTTATCTGCACTCCATCAAGAGCGACCGGTTACCCTCCCTATGTCTTGGACTCTACCTAGGGTTGTCCATCGGACACTTAAGACCAGCATGTGCCCCCTAAACCCTAAACCCTAAACCCTAAACCCTACAGGAGGCCTGCAAAAAGCAGCGAGGCCAGCATCAGTGACTTTCCACCAGGGGCGGCGCACAGGTCCAGCACGGAGGCCCCAGGCGAGGGCTCCAAAAGCGCCGCCGCCAAGGCTGAGGCTCCATCCAAGAAGTAGCCTCGAGTATAAATAATAGTATACACACACACAGAGACATATATATATATATGTATGTAGAGATATATACATGTAGATTGCCGGTAAGATGTATGCGTATATATATATATATATATATGTATGTTAATGTACATATTATATATATATATATGCATATACAATCATATACATATACACATGAGCTTCAGCATCTTCAGCCCTGCCCGAAGAGCGTTCAAGAGCATTCGGCCCTCGATGTTGACTCGAAAGACAATTCATGGAAGCGAGCATCTCCGAAAACATCAAAAAGGGGGGCTTATGCCTTAGAGAACGTCATTGCCCTACAGTAATGAATTTGCTGGGGGGCTCAACAAAAATAGGGGACCCGCAAGATAGATCCCCAAATAGTCGGTTTCCTTTGTAATGAGATATTAGGACCCTAATAAGGTATCCCTAAGATCGGAAAGGCCCACATACTGACACGCCGGGACTGCTCTGCGTGCCCAGGGGGCATGGCAGAAGTTCCTGCGAAGCTGGTAGTGCTTCTACCGCCTCATTGGGTACAAGCAGCCCATCACCATCCTCACAGTCGTCTACACATATGGGGGGGTGGGGGGGGGTTGCGAAGAATAGGGTGGTACTTTCTTTCCCTTGATTTTTTTTTGTGGGGGGGGGAGGGGGGGGGAGGGGGGGGTCCTAGAATCAGGGGTTTTTTGGATTTTGGAGTAATCTTGAGGGGTACCGGGCAATGCCCTCATGCAGATTTACGCAGGCGTGAATCTTGGTAAGTTCGGGCGCAGGGTGGTGCAGGGCTCGGTCCTGATCCTCGGCCGCATTGGCGCACGAGGACCCATCTGCATTCACGAAGACCAAAGGGATCTCCTCGTGTGGCTGCAGCCGCCGCGCCTGGGCCAAGTCCTCGCCATTCCCCACTATTCACGACTTCGTCTGCACGACCAAGTCAATCCCCTAAATTAGGGGGTTTTACAAAAAACAGGATACCCTAAGAATAGACCCCCAAGATAATTCCCGAAATCCCCAAATAGCAAGATTCCCGTATGATATGGACCCCAATAAGGTACCCCCCTAATTTCGGAAACCCCCAAAGCAAAGCAGCCAACAAAAAAAATCGTCAGAGTCCTCTCGTTGGCGCGGGGGCAAGAAGGGATTCAAGAGGGCGACGTGCTGGACCGGCTGGCGAAGGGCCCGAAGAAGCTCGGGCCAGCGCTCCTTCTCGGCTGGCACTGCGACACAGATGGCTGCTTCGCTACATTCCCCTCAAGCAAATACCAAAGTAGTCATGTTAACCTCATAAGTATATAAACCCCTCCTCGATTATGAGGTGAACATTTCCGTTTCGAACCACTTCCGAAGCAGCTCTTGTAGCTCTCCTTTCCGAAAGCCTTCGCATGGGTTGCCTGCCATCCAGACTCCCCGCGCAGGGACATGGCGCATGGGGCGGCGGCGGTTTCCAAGGGGCTTGGGAGCGTCTGACGTCTGGCTTTCCAGGTCTGAAGGTGCTCGCAAGCTTGGGGATGGGGGGGAGAGGGCACTGCCCATGCAACTAGCTCCAGTTGTGGGAAGTGAAAGTGTGAGAAGCAAGCCCGAAATGCATGACATAGCATGACCAAGTCTGAGGGAGCTGTGCTGGTCTTGAGATGTCTTGAGCCTATCAGCAGTTATCAGCAAAGCCACTCTTCCGGAGCTGTCACCACTTGAAAGCTCCAAACCTCTCGTTGGGCTTTCGGTGCCTGTGCGTCCAGGCGGGCCAGCTGCCGCTGGACGTCCGCCAGAAGGGCCAAGAAGCGCTGGGCCCGGCCTTGACAACTCTTCACCGAGACCGTAGCTGTACAAAAAGGTTTGTCCTACTTGACTTGTCCTGGCTCCTTTCAGAGACCCCCAAATACGAATTAATTTCAAGCGCAGCTGAGTTGTAGATTCGCATTGATCTCCTACGCAAGGAGCATGCGCCTCTTTCAGATGCCAAGAGGGGCCTAACGAAACTGAACCCTTCCCTTCCAACGGAGTCATGGAGCTCATCTGGCATACGCTGCTTTTTCGTCGAGGAATGCAGCCGTTGCTGGGTTTATCCATCTAGCCTGCACCAACTCTTGGTGGCAGGACCGCAGTGCGGAAAGCAGTAAGAAAGGGCGCTCCCTGTCATACGACACGTGTTTACTGAGAGCTGACCGCGGTCCACTGCTCATGAGTTGGGCGAACCCCTGGTTCTGCTGCTCACAACAAAACCGACTCAAACAAGACCTAGGACCTACGAATGGGGACCAGCCCGGGCAATGAAGTTCTCCGCAGCCAAAGCCCTGAGGCACATCGGGCACAGCGCGTCTACAAGCGTGGAACTGTACAGAAGACAGATTTCGAGAACTGATGAGTAACCCTGGGAACATTATAACGATAAGAATTGTTGATATTTCTACGACTAACATTCTTAACATTAAGATCATTCAACCTCCAACTGGTCGTGTTTGCAAAGTGTCGCTTTGACACCGGCTCGGGGTTGCTAACGCTGCCAGCCCCCCGGAAGTTGTGTTCTCTTGAGTCTCCGCCTACCCCCACTACATTCCAATGCTATTCATCATATTCATGATATTCATAATGCTCATAAATGTTGATTCTAATCAGTATAGTAACCATCAGTAACCCACTAGGCTATACTACACTTCCCTCCAGTTCTGAGCCCCGTAACTGGAGTATGCAGCCGCGCGAATGGGAGCTCTCAATCAAGGGCTATGACAGTACATTGCGCCTTCCTGCACTGCTTGTGACGATGCTGCCATCGTGCGCCATCGCTTGCATGGCTCTACACTCTTAGGCCACACCCATGCGGCGCTGCCACGACATCTGCCCACTAGAGTCCAAGCTCTTGAGCAAAGTCGTTGCAAACTTCATCCTCGAAGCTCTTCCCCTTAGCCTCCTCGGCCTCACTCTCGGAGCTGCCCTCAGCTGCAGCTTCGGCTTCGGCTTCGTCGGCTGCTTCGGCTTCGCCGGCCTCAGCCTCCTCCAAGGCGCTCTTTTGGCCCCCGAACTCGTAGTCCAGCTGCATCTTGGAGATGTTGCACTTCACAATCTTCTCCTCCACCGTGTCCTTACATGCTTTTCACTGCAGCGCTCTCTCTCGATGCGTGAAAAGCGCCTGACTCCAATCCTGCTTTGAAGAAAAAAAAACATTGCTGGGGACAAGGCTTTCGCCATCATGTAGGTCACCGTGACTGGTCGAGTCTGACCCAGTCGGTGCGCCCGGTCCTCCGCTTGGCGGTTGTCCTCGCAAGTCGGTTTCTGAATTCGGGCCTAAACTTCTCGGCTCTCACTCGGGCTTTAGAGCCGTCTTAGGGCCTTAAGGGCCTTTGAAGGGGCCTTTAGGGCGTCTGGGCAACGGCTCTCCTGTGGGTTCCAGGACAAGTCCATGAGAACCACGTGGTCCGCCGCCGTCAGGTTGAGGCCTTGGCCGCCTGCCTGGCAGCCAGGGCATCGACTCTCAGGGGCTCAGAACTCTCCGTTTTAAGAAATAAGTAGGGGTGAGGGAAGTTGAGGGTTTTGGGCCTTCGTCGTTTTAAGAAATAAGTGGGGGTGGGGGAAGTTGAGGGGGTTTTGGGGTGGTGAGAATGGTGAGAAATGGACAGGTTTGCTGTGTGACGTGTCCAACTTGATGCAACCCGCTTTTGGAGCTCTAGGATGCCTTGGGGCTTTGAGGAGGAGAGATGGGCCCGAAGATGCCCCAAAGTTTAGGGTTTAGGGTTTAGGGTTTAGGGTTTAGGGTTTAGGGTTTAGGGTTCCCACCCCCCCCCTGGCGTCCTTGAGTGAAGAGATCATGATGTCCACCCCAGAGCCCTCCTTCTGAAAGCTGTCCACCGTGGTCTGGCGGTCGCTGATCTTCGTGGTGCCATCCACGCGGACGAAACGAAAACCTTTGGCCTGCGCTTGTTTCGGGTTTAGGGTTTTTTTTGCCACCTGTCTAGCAAAGCTCCACGGGGCAACCGAAGAGTTTTTTTCGCCACCCGAAGAGTTTAGGGTTTAGGGTTTAGGGTTTAGGGTTTAGGGTTTAGGGTTTAGGGTTTAGGGTTTAGGGTTTAGGGTTTAGGGTTTAGGGTTTAGGGTTTAGGGCAAAGCGTGACAGGGCGCTGGCTTGAACTGCATGCAGCACATCCTGTTCGCTGGGGGCGCGCCAGGTTGACTACCACACGCACTGAACACGAGCCGACCGAATTGCCTTTCCCGCATTTGCCCTGGGCCCCAGCCACGACCAGCACGTCTAAAGTCTACAATTGCAAGGTGCATGTCAGGAAAGTTCGCAGAAGTCTCGAACAAGGTTCCGGAAGCTTTCGCATGTGGCACATTGGGGTTTTTTGTGCCTTTCACCGAGCTGATTGAAAGTGCACATGGAAAGGAAAGACAGGGTCTACAGCACTTAGCTCAGGCAAAGCAGGATGCAGGGCAAGCTCTGTATGTCGGGATGCTTCTCGCGTCTCGCAAAGCCTACATCCTCCAGCCAGCAGCACCTTTGAGCCTATGAGGCCTGGTAAGTCCTGTCCTGACATTTCGAATAGTTCTCGCGAGCTTGTGACATTGTCTGCGAGCAACAGCAAACAGTAGGGGTTGCAGGGATTGTCGCTTCCACGCCATGAAGTCCAGAACGTCACACACAACACAGTCACTACACCTACTTTGCCTGCGATCCGCGCGTTGCTGCCGCCTAATTCTGGCAAGCTTTAGCCTTATGGGCCCCGGAAAACTACTTCATGCCAGCTCCTCCAGCGCACATCCGATGATGTCCAAGAACATGGTGAACTGCGAGAACACCAGCGTCTTGCGCTTCGCTTCCTGCTGACCTGGGGCGACTCTTCGGCTCGCCCTGCTGCAACGGCTGTTCAAAACAGGGGTGCCCCCCCCCCCTTTTTCTTTGCATAAATAAATAAATATATATATATATATATATATATATATATACATACATACATTCATCATACATTCATACATACATTTCTTTTGTTTTCTTGTTTTTCGGGGGAGGGAGGGGGGTGTGGTTCCTGGAATCCAGGGAACCCTACTCTGCAAATACCCGCGAAAAAAACATGCGAAGAGAACAATGGCTCGGCCTAACCTAGCCTACACGGCACATCCTCACTTATCCTCACTGTCTCACGGCGGAGAACTAACTTCACGCCAGGAGTCTCTCCACGATCTTGAAAAGTTGTTGAAGCTTTCCAGAGTTCAGTATGTCATCGTGAGTGATTTTGAGCTTTTGCGGGTCGATGCCATAACCCGCAAGCTTGCCCTGCAGGTTGAGCTCCCGCACTTCTTGAACCAGCTGGTAGTCACTCATATCCTTCACAAAGTCGAGGCACTTGTCGACGCTGACGCGTGCGAAGTCAGCACGCACTGTGCGCAGGAGCTTCGTCAGGTTGGTGTAGTCCTCCTCGGTCAGCCTCGCCTGCATGAGAAGCGGGTGATTGCAAAGCCGGCGTAGCCGCGAAAAGAGATTCTTCACGAACTTGCTTCTGATGGCCTTTGTTCTCCGCATCTGCTTGGACTGCTCCTTGGCCTTCTTGATCTCTTGATGATACATCTTCTCCTGGTAGGGCGTCATCTGGCACCGCAGCGGCTGACATGTCTTGACTGGCAGGTCGGACATGACATTGCGCTTCAGCCTCCGGAGCATGAACGGGGCGGCACGTGCTTGCAAGGTTCGCAGCGACTGCCGCTCCACTACCTCTTCTAGCTCTTTGAGAATTGGACTGCGTGCTGTGCCTTCCCCTTGTTGCAACAGCAGTTTCAGAAGGTTTCCGAGCTCATGGAGGTTGTTGTGCACGGGAGTGCCGGTGAGAAGTATGCGACGCTTTGCTTGGATGTGTCGCGTCACGTTGCGAAAGGCAGTTGTCTGTGCGTTCTTCATGGCGTGCGCCTCATCACAGAGAACGCACTCGAAGCGAAATCTCTTGAAGAATCTCTGCTGGTCCTCCTTGTTTCGGAGGATGGCGGCAGTGGTGAGAACTACTGCCGTTGCTCCCGCCTTCCATCGATCATCAATGTCGGCTGCCAGGGCTTCGCGCTCATCGGAATTTGAGGCATGGTATCCTTAGGGTTGCCATCATAGGTTGATACTCCGCAGAAGCAGAAGTCATAAATTTGGATATAAGTTAATCTTCTTCTGCTCATGTATTTTACCGTTCCTTATGTTCCTTACAAGTAATAAAGGCCCAGTATCGGAAGACTTGAAAGTGTGGGCACCACAGAGCACATTCTCGCTCCCAGTTTTCCAGAACCGTCGCTGGCACCACCACCAAAGATGGTCGCTGCCTCGCGCGTGTTTGCTTGTCAGTCAAGACTGTGGGCAAGAGATCCAGGAACACCAAAGCTTGAGCTGTCTTTCCTAAACCCATCTCATCCGCCAGAATGCCGCCACAGCCCAGCTTGGCAAGAGCAAGCAGGTAGCGCACCCCCACTCTCTGATAACCTTTCAGCTTCGCATACCCCTGCGAAGCGGACTCAAGCTGCTCCTCACCCGGATCCTTCGGCCAATGATGCTTCCACTGGGAAACACGGCCCCGCTTGATAGACTTAGACACTTGGTTCTTCCTTTTGCCTCCGGGGCCGGCCAGAGCTTCTATCACTGCCTGCTTGGCAGACTCCGAGAATGCTGTCAGCCTCTTGCTCGCAGAAGGCCTCACTCGACGGGGGCTGCGCGACCTTTCTCTCTCCCTGGTCTGCGCGGGCGTCGGCTTCTGTGCCGGCTCCTCATCGGGCTCCACCAGCAGGCTGATGGCCGCTGTGGTATCTCCGCCGGTCTTCTGCAGCGACTTCATGGCCGCATCTCTTGTGAAGCCCATCGACTCAATCATCTGCAGCCCCTCCAGCGGCGCATCCGGCGTCTGCTGGGAGTCGCCCGTCAGAAAATCAATCGCCTCCGCCATATTCCCACCGGCGGAGCGCAGCGCGTTTGCTGCGGCACCCGGGTCGAAGCCCATCTGGACCAGCTCCAGAACCTCCTTGGGCTCCGGGCTGTCGGCACTCCCAGACTTCGAGGATGCAGAGTCCTCCTCGCTGTCGGGCAAGGGCGCGACCGCCATGGCGCTCATGCTAGGTGCCTTAAATGTGCCTTAAGTACTCAGAGCGTGCGGGGTTTCTCAAGTGGTCAGAAGGAGGGCCAAGGAGGATGAAGGCAGCTGGCTGCTTCTTGGGTGTAGAGGAGTTTAGTGCTTGAAGCATTTGCACGTAGAGCTCCGCTAGGTGCAACTGGCATGCGTCACTGCGTCGTCCCTCTGAAAAAACTCTGCTGACCAATAGAACCACACACACACATACGTTGCACTTGCAGACATCTCTTGGAAGCACAATAGCCATGGCCATGCCACTGGCGCACAGAAACGGACTATGGCCATTGCTGCTGTCTGAGATCCCAAACGTGTCGGCCCGATGTCCTTCTTTCGCAGGCGACAGTATCTCGCGATCCGATGCCTCAGCAGACTCTCAGCAGCAGTCGCGTCACACACCGTGACATACGAGTAATGTCAGGTAAGCCAGATAAGCTCTATACTCTATTCATCAGCTATGCCTGGCTGAATCCGGCCTGCAACCCTGAACCGCAAAGCACACATTGACATATAGATCCGGGCGTCTCGCACAGCATAGACCAAGGTTTTCGGACTCGCCTTTCCGGAATGGATGGCGACCTGCGCAGCTGAACTCCAACAGGCGGGCAGGTCATGCGACAACAGCAAGCGTGCCATGCACCAAGCAGGTTGGCAACAGGTCCACGCATGGTTTGGGTAGTAAGTAGTCATTCCGGAGAGAAACGCGAGAGAGAGAGAGAGAGAGAGACAGACAGACACATACAGACAGGCAGGCAGACAGGCAGCGCTACTGGCAACAGAGCGAAGAGCGACACAGTAATATGCGCATGTCTGTTTTGGTCCATTCATCGACTGTCGCTCCAAGGCCTCCGTGTGGCGGAATTCTTGGGCTATACTTGCTATACTTTGGATGCATGGTGGTCCCATGACTGTCCCTGTTTGGGAAAATGGGGGCCGTGGGTCATCTGGCGATGGAGCACCACGGACACGGCCGCTGGCCAAAAATTCTCTCCAGGAATCCTAAAGATTCGAGAAGATGCTCGCGGAGTGACAACTTCACTTCGCGCTTTGCGGGTATTCGCTAGGCATTGCATGGCATTGCTAATTTGCATAGGTGCACCACGTACGGCAGCACCTCGACTCCCGCCCACTGGACTCAAGTGACTCAGATGTCTCAGATGTCTCAGCGGGCGGCACCACCTCAAAAAGGGATTGGCACTGCTTGCAGAAGAACAGGCAGTGCATTCGTGCACCTAATTTCTGTGGCCTGTTGGCCGAGCATAGTGAAAGACTCACGGAAAGATGGGCTGAGTCACGTTGGACTCGATTTCCGGGGTGCTCGTGTTGCTTTCCAGGCGCCGGTGGCCCAGACTCACATAGACACGGCCGAGCTCAGACAAGGCCCCGTTCCAGTCCACCAGGCCAGCGTCAGGGTTGGGGTTCGTCATGCCATGCGCCCACTCGTTCGTGAAGTAGCTAAACCAAGCATACTTCTCCACCATGTCTTCTTGCTCAAGCCACGGCACCACGTCCTTCATGAAATTGATCTGGCCCTGCATGGACACGTCCACCCCTGGGGCAGCGCAAGCAAACTCCGTCAGCCAAATCTTCTTCCCAAAGCGCCTGTACTGCTCAATGAGATTCTGCACACCGCCCAAGCTGCACCAGTAACTGTGGACCGCGATGGCATCTATCCGGCAACCCTTGCAGGCATCCAAGAATTGTTGCATCCAGGACGTGCCTTTGCCGATGTCTCCGCACATGGCAGGACTCACAAGCTTCTGAACGCCATAGTTCCGAGCCACTTGCTCTACCTCTGGCCAAATGGCTGCTGCTTGCCAGGGATCCATGTGGGCCTGCGAGTGGATGTCCGGCTCATTGAATCCCAGCAGCGCCCTGAACTGCTGACCACCTGCTCCACGCTGGAAGCCTGCATTGTGGACCATGGGGGAGAAGTCCATCCCAGCATTGCCCCAGTGGAAGTGGGGGTCAAGCTCCCAGTTGTAGCCCCAGGACACGCCCTGCTTCAGCGCGTGCAGTTGGTGCTCGCGCAGGTTTGCCCGGGCGATGCCGCGCTTCTGACTCTGCGCGGCAACCGAGAGCCACTGGGCCGAGAGGCAAAGTCCCACAATCGTCTTCCACAGGCTGCCAGCCATGCCGGTCCGAAAATTCGCAAGGCTTAGGCTTAGGATGGCAAATGGTGGCGAACTTCGGACTAAAGCTCCAAGACAGCGTGACGAACCATGCGTGGATCAGACAAGGCACATGCCGCACGCCTCAAGTGACTGCAAGTGACTCAGCTTCAGGGGCTAGAGTCTAGAGGTTCAATGCCGGATTGATAAGCCCCCTCGAAAACGGAACTGGCGGTGGTTCTACGCTTCGTCCATGCACTGGTCATTTTTGGTCCATTCATCGACTGTCGCTCCAAGGCCTCTGTGTGGCGGAATTCTTGGGCTATACTTGCTATACTTTGGGTGCATGGTGGTCCCATGACTGTCCCTGTTTGGGAAAATGGGGGCCGTGGGTCATCTGGCGATGGAGCACCACGGACACGGCCGCTGGCCAAAAATTCTCTCCAGGAATCCTAAAGATTCGAGAAGATGCTCGCGGAGTGACAACTTCACTTCGCGCTTTGCGGGTATTCGCTAGGCATTGCATGGCATTGCTAATTTGCATAGGTGCACCACGTACGGCAGCACCTCGACTCCCGCCCACTGGACTCAAGTGACTCAGATGTCTCAGATGTCTCAGCGGGCGGCACCACCTCAAAAAGGGATTGGCACTGCTTGCAGAAGAACAGGCAGTGCATTCGTGCACCTAATTTCTGTGGCCTGTTGGCCGAGCATAGTGAAAGACTCACGGAAAGATGGGCTGAGTCACGTTGGACTCGATTTCCGGGGTGCTCGTGTTGCTTTCCAGGCGCCGGTGGCCCAGACTCACATAGACACGGCCGAGCTCAGACAAGGCCCCGTTCCAGTCCACCAGGCCAGCGTCAGGGTTGGGGTTCGTCATGCCATGCGCCCACTCGTTCGTGAAGTAACTAAACCAAGCATACTTCTCCACCATGTCTTCTTGCTCAAGCCACGGCACCACGTCCTTCATGAAATTGATCTGGCCCTGCATGGACACGTCCACCCCTGGGGCAGCGCAAGCAAACTCCGTCAGCCAAATCTTCTTCCCAAAGCGCCTGTACTGCTCAATGAGATTCTGCACACCGCCCAAGCTGCACCAGTAACTGTGGACCGCGATGGCATCTATCCGGCAACCCTTGCAGGCATCCAAGAATTGTTGCATCCAGGACGTGCCTTTGCCGATGTCTCCGCACATGGCAGGACTCACAAGCTTCTGAACGCCATAGTTCCGAGCCACTTGCTCTACCTCTGGCCAAATGGCTGCTGCTTGCCAGGGATCCATGTGGGCCTGCGAGTGGATGTCCGGCTCATTGAATCCCAGCAGCGCCCTGAACTGCTGACCACCTGCTCCACGCTGGAAGCCTGCATTGTGGACCATGGGGGAGAAGTCCATCCCAGCATTGCCCCAGTGGAAGTGGGGGTCAAGCTCCCAGTTGTAGCCCCAGGACACGCCCTGCTTCAGCGCGTGCAGTTGGTGCTCGCGCAGGTTTGCCCGGGCGATGCCGCGCTTCTGACTCTGCGCGGCAACCGAGAGCCACTGGGCCGAGAGGCAAAGTCCCACAATCGTCTTCCACAGGCTGCCAGCCATGCCGGTCCGAAAATTCGCAAGGCTTAGGCTTAGGATGGCAAATAGTGGCGAACTTCGGACTAAAGCTCCAAGACAGCGTGACGAACCATGCGTGAATCAGACAAGGCACATGCCGCACGCCTCAAGTGACTGCAAGTGACTCAGCTTCAGGGGCTACAGGTTCAGTGCCGGATCAATTGAAAGGCACAGTCTTTGCCTGCAACCCATCTACTCTGGCACTACTCCGGTGGTATGGACCTCCGCACGAAACCTGATGAACTTGATACGCCCCTTCGAAAACGGCACCGGCGGTGGTCCTATGTGCGCGTGCCGTACAGATCTTACTGTGAATGGCTCGGGGGAAACCCTGCCAGACGCCGCGAAGACGAATACTGACACCTACCACGCCGCCGCAACTTGTCGGCTCTTTAACCACTCTCTCGAGGACCGTGGGCCAGAATCCCCACAAGAGAGCAACCCCCCAAACGTTTCCCGGACGCTGACAGGGAGGCGAGTTTTGCGGGGATGGGTGCCAGAGTGCTGGGTGCAACTGTGAGACAATATGACCGTAGGCCTTGATGACGAATATTGGTACAACGCTGCGTGAATGTGAGCTTGGGAGGGTAAGCTCCTTGTTGAACACGTCCGAGATGTCCACCGCATCCTCGCGTTGCGCAGCGCAGAGCGCAGAAAATGTGCTCAGCAGACGGGTTTTTCTGAGGTGGCCTCCATGTTAGGGGGGAAAATTGCTCTAAGCACGAGGAGGCCCGCACCTGAATCTTCTGACAGATCGCTCCCTGGATCTCCGAATCATTCTGCGATGCCAGGTCCTCTCAAAGCTACTTGGAAGGCACTTTTTTTGCCGAATGGACCGAGTGATAGAGCCGACACAAAGACATGGTGGCTGCATCACATCTACTCAAACACAGCAGGCCCGACACACACAGGCCCGACACAAGCCGAAGTTCGCCATGTCCTCTGCCGCGTGGCCACCATTCTGGGAGCCTGCAGGCAGCATCTGAGCGTTTAGGGATTCTGAAGGCTGCATGTGTCTGTTCCCCATGCGCCTGGATTTCCTGCCTGCTGCGTGGGAGCCCAATCATAGAAGGAAATCATCCGCCGCAGCCATGTGCCCTGTTCACACACCTAGTGGCCTGCTGCTGGGTTTTCTTGGTTGTCGAGTCTCACCCCGAGGGCCCCTTCTTGGGTGTTGGGGCTTGAGGCTCGTAGTAGTGGCTGTTGACTCGCTGGCAGCTGCTAGACTCCTCACCCACGAGCCTGCGAAACGTTTGACAAAACATGCCCCGTTCGCTTCTTTGCATGGAGACATCATGTACTTAGTTGTCCTAGGGGTTTTAACGGTTAACCTCTGGGATTATATAATATATATATATATATATATATTAACCCAAAAAGGTTACCTATAATATATATATATATATATATATTAACCCAAAAAGGTTAAAGGTTACCTACTCTGCTACTAAGTGTAGAGCTGCCGCGAGCAAGAAAGGCAGTGGGATGCACCGCATGGAATGGCAACTCCCGGTGAATCATTTGATTCCTCAAAAGTCCACAGCAAAAGCAGCGCACTCCACAATAACAGCTCCGAAAGTTAAAAAAAAAGAAAACGAGATCCACAGAGAACCGTCCTGCTAACCTCCGTCCTCAAACATACTCTGCAAATTCCGGGATCGCATATTCCGACTTGCATGGCCAGCTTTACTACGAAGACTTTCGGATGTCAAGAAGCTCCCATTCCCCTTGACCTGCAAACAAAGCTTGAAGGGCTACAACGGCTATATAGGGAGGGATACAGGGCGCCTCATCCCCTGCATAATCCGAGCATGGGAGGGTATGGGAAAGGAAGCTTACGAACTTGCGGCCCAACACATAGACGTGGCACCGAGCCCCTGGCTCGATCTAAGCACCGGCGTATGGCCTGAGATTCCAGCTTCAGAACCTGGGGGCATGTGAGGGTTCGGGGTCTAGAGGGTTTGCAAGGTTTATAGGGTTTGTAGGTTTGTAGAGTTTATAGGGTTTGTAGGGTTTATAGGGTTTGTAGGGCTTATAGGGCCTATAGGGTTCAAGGGTTTATAGCGTTTATAGTTTATAGGGCTTAGAGGGTTTATTGGGTTTCATCGCTCGCGGGCTTTTTGCTGAGGGCTTTTGTTTTGCCAGCCGCCAAGCCAACGGAAGGGTTTATCCGAGCTTTCAAGGGAAGACGGATGCAGGCACTCTCTCTACAACAAGTCAGGAACATCGTGTGTACTCTGGCCTCGTGCTCCTTACGCAGAGCTTGTAGCTGCCTGGCAACAGGCCGGACTAACCATTCGCAAAAATTCTGTTCGCCCGTGCCGAGCAAGTGAAGTTCGGTGTCTGTTGCATTTTGGAGGAATCCCATGAACATGCCGGCGAGACCCTTCCAAGGCGCAGCAGCTGGTCACCAATTGTGCCTTCAGCTTCTAATTTACCCTGAATTATATAGGGATCCTGAATCTGATTTAAGGGGTATATTCCTGATTTAAGGGGTATGGGCCGGTATGGGCCTCTTGTAAAGACTCCAGGCACGGGGGTGCTGAGGCGCCCGCCCACATGCCCTCCTGGTCTTTCGCAAGGGAGAGCCTCTCTTCGGCAAGACTCAACTCTCTAGACACCAAAAAATATCTCAATGGAGAGGGCCCATTCAAGAAGGCCAGTTCGACTGGGGCCCCCTGGCAATCGCATCATGGGCTTGTCGCCAACTGGCACAGCTGCCGGGCTGACGGAACCTTCGCTCAAGAACCCTTTTGATGCAGAAAAAATCTGCGGAACCGCACTGATCAAATTGCATGGACGCGGCATCTAGAGACTCGGCACAGGTAGAGTCCGATACAGTATGCACTTGCTGGTTGCAAAAGCAAGCAAGTGCAACTTGACCGGCGCACGTAGCCGGCTGTGTCGAACCTGGGAATCTTTCCAAGGTTCCCTCCAGGTTTCTGGGCCTGAGTCACCGAGCAGCAAGCTACTCGCACGACTGGTCAAAAGCGCGCTTATGAAAGCATGCCAGTTGGCCGGAGCATGTGCATGTGCAGAGATATCAGGGAATTTGACCACTTTATCTTCAAAATGTCCAGAAAAGCAAAATGTTGGATTTTGCAGCATTTTGGCAGTGTTGACTGTAGTGTTGACTGAGTGTTGACTGTCATCTGCATATGTTTGCTGATTTTGGAGGAAAATACAGGGTTTTAAGGCTCTTTGCGTCCAGAACCGCCAGATGCGGTAGTTTCCAGCATTTTGGCTGTGTTGCATTGCAGGATGGAGTAGAACTTCTTCATTAGGTAAGGCCCGCCGATACAGGTCAGGAGCTTGTCTTTCTTTTAGGATCTTTGTTGAGGGTCGCTCGCGGCATACACTCTGGGCCCGCCAAAAGTACCCTGCTCAACTTCGGACACTCTGCATATCCGTGCTGTGCGACAGGGAAGCAAATTGTAACCCGATCGGCTGAAGCGCAGACGTACTGCAACCATGGCTGTCTAGGCAGATTTTGCTGCAGTCATGGTCTGTTAGAAGGATGAACTGACATGCGTCCCTGGGGCAAGTTGCCAGCCTTGTCCTGCCTTGAACCTGATTATTATGCGAGCGATCTTCTTGCTGCTCTACCAACCTCACATACATTGCTTCATTCTCGGGGTCTGATCCGCGCAGGCGGCGAAGAGAAATGATGCATGGGCCACACTGCTGCTGTCTCCTGAGGACACGCCTCCTTTTTCCTCGACAGAAACGATTCCAGCAAGAAGCACCCATTACCCCAGTCCTCATGATGGGGTCCTGGATGCCTTTGACGAAATTTCAGCCCTGGGCTTCCCCAGATGCAGGATTAAACGTTATCCTCTTCACTTGCGCGCGCCCAGGGGACAAAGCTGGGACAGGGCTTAAGGCTCAGGCTTCTCGTACTTTGAAGGGGTTCGTTCTCTCTTCTTCTTCTTATTCTTGTTATTCTTCTTCTTCTTCTTCTTCTTCTTCTTCTTCTTCTTCTTCTTCTTCTTCTTCTTCTTCTTCTTCTTCTTCTTCTTCTTCTTCTTCTTCTTCTTCTTCTTCTTCTTCTTCTTCTTCTTCTTCTTCTTCTCTTCTTCTTCTTCTTCTTCTTCTTCTTCTTCTTCTTCTTCTTCTTCTTCTTCTTCTTCTTCTTCTTCTTCTTCTTCTTCTTCTTCTTCTTTTCTTTCTTACTCTTCTTATTTTTCTTCTTATTGTTCTTCTTTCTTCTTCTGCTTCTTCTTCCTCCTCCTCCTCCTCCTCCTTCTTCTTCGTTTTCTTCTTCTGCTGCTTCTTCTTCCTCCTCCTCCTCCTCCTTCTTCGTTTTCTTCTTCTGCTGCTTCTTCTTCCTCCTCCTCCTTCTTCTTCGTTTTCTTCTTCCTCGTCTTCTTCTGCCCAGCGGAGAGGCCCCCCCATGAGAGACCCCGCCCACGACAGCCCGCTCCTCGGTTCGGTTCGAGTGACACCCCGCTGCCGTGTTGGTTGTTTCTGTCTCCCTCTGTTTCGCCTGCTTCTCCTTCTTCTGCGCACGTGAGGGGCCTTTGCGGGACGCCGGCAGGTCCGGCCAAGGGGTGTCTGTCCAATTGCGGCCCTTTCCCGCCTGAGCTTCCCACTTCCTGCAGCCAAACACAGGACCCCACGGCCAGAACCCCCAAATGCTCGTGGCTGTCGAGACTGGGCCCGTCCATGCGGGTTGGGTTGATCCCCAACACAAGGGAAGGCAATGTGCCATGCTGTGGTGGGGGATCAACGCCGGTGTGTTGGTTCTTCACCCCCTGTTCTGGGACCCCCTTGCCTCATATCCCTCTTTTTCCAGAGGTGACGAGGTCACTCAGCTGACTGAATCGTCTTTGTGGCGATCCAAGTGGGAGACCTGTCTGCTGCAGGTCGTGGGTCTCGGTCAGCTTACATCTTCAGCTTCTTGCAGGCGCTGGAGTTCGTTCTTGAGTTCTATATGTGGAGTGAAGACGTGGTCGTCTTGCTCTACCTTTCCAAATTTCACAGTCTCGGTCAGCTTAATGTTCGACGTAAAGGGCGGGGTGGGCCCGGCAACCGATCAGGGCCTGCCTCTCCCCCCTGATATTAAACCCCCTACCCCCTAGTATTAAATACTCGCATTGTTATGTTACAGAATATGTGGGGCGGTCTTTAACATTGGGGGTACGAGGGGAGGGGATTGCACCTCCCAGGCCTGCTGGGGTTTCTTTGCCGGGTGGGTCTACTGTGCTGAACGGTGGTGAGGTGTGACAAGACTTCGCGATCCGAGATTTGCCGGATCTCGACGAAGAATTATTGTTCTGCCATTTCAATTTCTCTGTCGTTGAGGGAGTCGGGGCCTAAGATCATCGATAGCAGCCGTAGTCTGAGGCCACAGGTGCTGAAGTGGCCCGGGAGCGCGCTAAGACAGTGAGATGTTACCACACTGTGGCGACTCCATAGTGAACTTGTGGTGCGCGCATACTCATGTTGGATGCTCATAAGTCTGCACGGAATCACCCCCAAGCTCAAGTGCAAGCGCCGCGGCAAGAGCTCAAATCGTTGAGAAAGTAGGCAATTCCAGCACCCACCATACAAGCGCGATTCAAGCTCTTGTCTCATCAACAATGGCAGACCTGTCCTAGATTCCTAGGCAGCAATGCCAAAAAAATGGTTGGCATGTGTGGTGGGTAAAATTTCGAAGCCTATAGCAATTAGGACTAGGACCTAGGAGTCTGGAAGGACAGCGTCAACCGATCACGGCCCTGTTTGCTAGGACCTGCTCCTTAGCAGGGCAGCAAACTGTGGGATTGTGATCTGTCTGGGGAAGAGATGGGCAGAGCAAACGAACTACAACCACCTGGAACTGCCCAACGCTTTCCCAGCATCACGTCCGGAAACTGACGACTTGACATTTGCAGCGGCCAATAGCTCAGCCGAAAAGGATTGCGTGACAGTTGCAGCCACACAGACCTGAACACTACTTGCCGGTTCTTAAGTAGATACGGAATCGGGGAAATGGTGACCCTGTATACGTCCCAAAAAGGGCTTCCGGGCATCTAACTACCTAAATTCCCTACCTAAATTCCCTACCTAAGAACCAGGAAGAACCTTCGTTCGGTGCATCTAAGAATGTAAGCCTTTGGCTTGCTCCGCAGCTCCTCATAAGGACAGTCCTCTGTGCCCCCATGGGAAAGATGAACTTCTTTGCGGCCCACAGCTCCTGAGCACAACAAAACCTTCGAATCGTGGATTGCGAAGAAACGCAGAGACACGTATTCGGCGTTCATCTGTCGCAGGGATGCATTATCCAATGCTCCGCTACGCGGGCAATGGTCAGCGGACTCAAAACCGAAGTCATGACATGCAGAGAAACCCTGTGCACAAAGACAGCATTTACGTCGCAACACAACACCAAGCCCTCAGCCTCGTGCTTAAATCGTCTGGGTGAGGGATGGTGAGGGGATGATGTGAGTGACAGACCAGATCATGGTTGTTCCTTGCCCAATTCCGCTGCTTCCTCTCTGGGTGTTACCTTGCCCGGTCAACCCTGAGCACCCGTGCACTGCCAAATTATGACTCACAACATGCCAGAGACCCACGGTAAATGTTTACCATCTTACCCCCATCACGATGCAATCACCATGCAAGGGATTCATCCGCAGCTGTGCTTAATTCCGGAGCCGCTTTCGTGCACTTGCTGCACGCGGCCGATCACTGCCCAACGAGTTCAAGCAGCTCTGCGGCAACGGCCTTGGCTCCACCAACTCGAACTGGACTCCTCCTCTACTTACTTACTTACTCACTCACTTACGTACTTACTTACTCACTCACTCACTCACTTACTTACTTACTTACTTACTACTACTTCTTGCTCAAGAACCACCCATAAAATGAACAATATTCTTCCTAGTGAGGGTAATATGGGGATTGTCATTTTGGGGGGGTTCTTCAGCAAATAGTAGTCTACATGTACAGCAGTGCTTGGTAATGTAGCAACAGGGCCGCGGACTCTTGGGTAAGTTTATGGATCGCGGCGCGCTCTGGCCTCAAGCTCGGCTTGTCCGTGGAAGTTGTGCACCTAAGTGCCAGGCCCTCAGGTCTTCAACAGCTGACAGTGCTGCTTGTAAGTCCAAGGCTTGGTGCAGAGAAGCCCGTGCACTGCCTGAAGCTGCTGCGTTTCTCGTTGGCCCTCGTCTCTCTGGCGGATGGTGCCCATGTGGCCTTTATTTGCGCGTGTGCTCGGCGAGGAGGTCCATCGGCTCAATCTGTTGATGACCTAGGCATCACTGCAGCCGAGCCGATGCACTCTTCCTAGCCTGCTCTTCGTCAAAAAGACCCAACACCACAAAAAGATCCGGCAGCATTTGCTTTCTCCACTCCGGGGACTTCGCCTCAAAGAATATGTAGCCAATGACGAAACAGGCTATGGTGACCAAGACCTGCCCAGTCGGGTAGGAGGAGGTGACTAACGCCATCCGCTGAGACCGTTGAGACGTTCTTGAACAGCGGTCCACAACCTCGCTTGCTCCGCCATCCTCCACAGAGCAGTCGGCCGCCACCTCACCCACAAAAGAAAGCATGGGCATGTGCAGACACACATCAGTCGCATATGTAATCCTGAGTATCAGAACCAAAAGAGGGTACCATATCTTGGGAAACCCCCGTATGCATTGCAGATATTACGGCTCAGGCCATGACTGTCATCAGTGCGAACCTCGGCACACCCGCGAGCAATCAGCGTCAGTCCCCACATGCCTGGAGCATGAAAGGCTCTCCAACTTCCGGTTCCGGCACGTGACTCAAATCCGGAGCCAAAGACTATCAACTTCAACTTCAAGCAGCTGACACAAGGTGCAAACAACAACCACGGATTGCAACGCCCCCTGCGGAAGCATATGGGCAGCGGCGACACATCAAAGTACAGTCAAGATACGCCGGGAACTGCGACGGCTGCCAGAAAAAGCAACAGCTAGGCAGCTAGCCCTCAGCTTGATCCAAAGACCTGCTGCCATCAACCGACTGACTGCACCGAGCAACTCTGTAGAATGCAGCAGACCATAAACTCAACTACCTGAATCTACCTGACACCGTTGAACCGTTGCGCTTTTCCTCCTGCCGTGCCAATCTACGCATGCGCTTTCACGTCATCGTTGATCGCCTGCCTCAGGAAGGTTCGCGCGTGATTTGCTGCTGCTCTCTGCCCACTGCCGCCCAGATGCACGAGCGGGTTCACAGGCAAGCCGTTTGCAGCTTTCCTGCAGCTCATGCGATGCGTCTCAGGGCTTTCCCTCCGGAGCTCACAAGATCTCACACGGTTCACTGAGAGTCGCTCACTTGGCCATTCTCGTCCAATTTGACCGTCGGCGGATCGTTCGGCGCCCTGACATTCAGACTTTCAACTCCCAGGCAGCACGCACTCCTAAATCCGCCTAAGAGAACGGACATCTTTCCTGGGGCCAACCCCTGTCTTTGCACAGGAAACCATAAGCACAAAGTACCAGCACAAAGCTTTCAAAGAGTCCTTGGGGGTGGGGAAATGAGATGAAACGAGCGAAGGGCAAAACAGAATGAGGTGTAATTTCCCCTTAGTATAGGACTTGGGCGAGCAGGCGAACAAAGCCTTTCACTCACAGCCCAGCCGCTGACTCTTCTGTTTCTCTCTTGCTTGCGTGGCGACCCAGCGCATCATCCGTGAATGCGCGAGGTGCGGTGAAATGCAGTAAGTCATGCTCGACGCCTTTGTCCACGACGTGCTAGGTGCGGCTTGGGATCCATTTTGGGGTCGTCCCCTCTCTTCGTAAACTCCTATTTGTTGTGCCTGTTCACCCGCTTGCGGAGGTTGTTCTTAGCGTGGCCAAAGATCCAGCGCGACTCGTCGAGTGGCTGGCTGACGTTGCAGAAATCACAGCAGTGTGCTGTGCCGTCGACCTGAATGTTTCTCTCCATAAGGTCGATCAGCACCTGTCGCCCGATGATGTTGTTGCCGCGGCACAGCTCGTCGGCCACTTGCGCATGTAGGCACTTCACATCACTTGAGTTCGCTGAAAACCTCATGTTGGACAGGCCTGTTGTCATGATCACGTCAACCGTCTGGCTTCCCATGGCGTTTCTGGCTTGGGCAAGCTTGCCCTCACGCTCCGACATAAACCTTTGACGCATAGTTCTGTGCGCCTCATGCGTGGCTAGCAGCTGAGACCGCCACATCTTGTCATGCTTCAATCGCGTGTTGTACGCCTCGATGGCAGTTGTCTCATAGTCATCGATGGCAGCAACCAACAGTGGGCACGTTAAGCGCATGAGATCCCCTATCTTCCCAGACGCGCGCAGCGGATCCATCACGAGGGCTTGCGGCCAGCCATGCCGGCATCGATGCCCAGATCTCATGGTTTCCACCTCCTGCTCCCAGTCGCTGCCAGGCGGCAGCAGCAGCTGCCGCCTGGTTACGCACCTTACGTCGGCCTCGCTCAGCGTGGTCGGTCCGCGTAGTAGCTCGTAGGCACCAGCGCCATCAGTGCTCTCGGAGTTCAAGTCTTCAGCACTGCTTCTGCTTACCTTTCCCTGCCTTTGTCGCACGCTCCGGCAAACAGAGCAGTGCTGTCTTGGTAGTTTCGATGGCACGACCAGACAAGGCACCCTGCCCTCAGCGTGGCGGAGGCTGCACGCCAAATATGCTAAGCCAACCCCAACCAGCCCAAAACATCGATGCCATCGAGGCATCGCTTGGAAATGAACTAAGTTATGTTGAAATGAGGCTGAAGTCACGCGGCGGAAGGCGGAAGCTGGCCAACCTCGCACATTCTTGGGGCAGCAAGCCTAAAAACAAGGGGATACAACACATTGCGATACCAACATGCCAATGGCCTGCCATGGCCTGAGACGGCCTATTCGTCCCACACTCACGGCCCACATGGGGGTTTACGAAAAGAAGGGGCCCCTCTTATACCCCAACATACCCCAATCCTGAATAAGGGAACCCCGCGAGAAGGGTAGCCCTATTTTTCAGAAACCGCCACACTCACCCTAAACCCCAAACCCCAACCCTAAACCCTAAACCCTAAACCCTCACGGCCCAAGTGCCTCTTCAAGCATGGCCTGCACTCTTTCGGGCACTCCGGACACTGGCAGGCTGGACCTCGAACTGCAATGCCAGACGCAGCCTGACCTCTCCCGCGCCGTTGCGGCCCAGAGCTGCCTAAACTATACTAGACTGCTTGTTCTCATGTTTTTTTGTGTATGAAAAGATGAATATACATTATATATATATATATATATATGTATTATATATAAACATTCAAGCACCTCAGGGCAGCACAGAATGGGCAGTTGTTGTCCATGTGGTTGCAGACAATCCTTGCCGGTGGCGCAGATGCTGAAATGCACACCTCCCTGCGACTAGTCAACATGCAGTACGCTGTGGACACTTTGCTCAAGCAGGGCTCTTCCCCTCCACTGCAGGCGGCCTGCCTATCAAGCAGTGGGAATGTAACATCTGGCAAGAGATCGACCGCGCCATGCTAAGCTGTGCTGAATTGAGACCCGCTGAGTCGGCTTCGGCTACCTCTACAAGTGTGAGGATGAATGTCAGCCCCTTTCAAGCCTTCATCGTCCGGGTGCCTGAAACCTGGGTTTTCTGCCGACACGTCGAACTGAAGAGGGAAGAGCCTTCAAGTTGCCGAGAGCCAGGCCATGCGGACACGAGGGGCAAATGGGGCATGATGGACACCTGAGCTTCACGGGTTCTACTTGCAGTTGCTCCTGCAACCGGCTTCTTGCTCAGCAACCAACTCGGGGCACTTCTCGCACGTTATCTCTGGGCAATCCTTCCCTGAGGTCAGAGTGCCAGGGTCCAGCACGAAAAAGCGTGTGCGAGCACACCTAGACCGCTGCGGAATACGAAAGATGCCGCCACGAAGCTGGAGGGAATGGCCTCCTTCGGCAAGTGTTGCTCCTGGCAAGCAGTCCTCTTCACAAAACTGACGCAAACTGAAGCCAGGGCATCTGACATATGCTGATGAGAGCACTCTGACCTCCCGGGCAACCGCATCAGGATCACTTGACTTGTGATCTGCCTGGCAGCGCGCAGTCAGGCAATGCAGATTGCTGTGGGTTTAGGGGGTTTCTGCCTGGCAGCGTGCAGTCAGGCAATGCAGATTGCTGTGGGTTTAGGGGGTTTAGGGGGCTCATGCCCCACCTCGTCCACACCGGCCGACATGCGGCTGGCAGCGTCCTCACAATGCCCCCCCCCCCCCCCCCCCCAGTCCCCGAAAGGTATTGCACTCCACCCTGGTGCGACGAAAGATTGGGGGTTTATAACATTAGGGGTAGCTTTTGGGATACACTATTATAAGGATCCTACTATTTGAAGGTCTATATTATTAGGTCTCCCTGATTATCGTAAACCCCGTGTAGCATAATGTCAAGTGCATCTGAGATGCTCTCGGATCCAGCTGTGGCACGGGGTCGTTGAAGGAAGTCTGTACCTGGGAGCTTGGCGACTTTGTTCGCGAGGGCTACAACGCGACTCTGGCTATTCTCGTTCTGCTCTGTTCTGCTTGCTCCGGGCAAGACTTGACAAGGAACAGGGACAGTTTCCGGTTCGAAGAAAGCGCAGACACTCGCAGCGCCACAAACTTCGAAACCCTTTTACATCCAGGCCTCGCAGACTAACTCGAACCCCCAAGGCCGGGCACGCGACACGCACGTTCGCCCCCGGGCTTTCGGGGGGCTGAAGGTGTACGGGGCTGTCATATGCTGTCACTCATGCCAGCCCTAAGCCCAAGCCCTGGTACTTCAAGAAGCCTTTTACAAGCTTCAAGAGTTCAAGGACAACACCACCGTGGCCCGAGCAGTTCGGCCCCGCAGATGAAGCGAAAGCTCCTAGCATCAAAGCTGAGAGGTTTTTTGGCACACCGTGTACCCCTTCCGGAAGACTTGTCGCCCCATGTCCTTCTGAGGAAACAGGAACTCTGCATGTGCATGAGCTGCTCCACTCTCGCTTCCATCAAAGAGTGCCGCTACCTGAGCTGCCGTTTCAGGCTTGACGCTCGCTTGCGCGCCTATCTCGGAAGGCATCCCTGAACCTTCTATGCCAATCATTTTGCCGAGGCGCTAAAGTCTGATGCCAAGCTTTGGGCATCAGAACCTTAGCATCTTGCCAGTCCTGTCGTTTCGGCACACAACACATTCGTAGCTCAACACGACCTGACGGCACACTTGGGCACCACACCGCCTCGTATCACAGTCCACCCGCTGCGTCAATAAATGCGACAGATTGGGTGACAACGTTGTGACTGTAGCTGTGCTCCTGTTGCTCGGGAGATGTTGCCATACGTCCTGGTGATGATACGTGCAGGAATCTCCTGCTTCCCGGCAAGCCACATGAATACGTCATGTCTACAACCAAAGCTTTGAATCTCGGCATCGAAAATGCTTTGCCATCAGAAGCGACACGGCATATCTAAGTTCTCTACACACGTCCCTCACACACATACACACATGCTTCGCTGTAGGTTCTGCATCCGCTGTTTTCCTCTGCGTGAGGGTACTAACGAAAATCAAGCAACTCTAAGGCAACCTGTTCCTTAGGAAACTGGCAGCTTTAGCATTAAACGAAAATCCCAGGGCAATGGCCTCTCCGCTGATCACATCTGCGGCCGCCCTCTGCATCATGTTGGTGTGAAACATGCTCGGTTCACAGCTTCGCTCTTCGAATGGCTGTGGTGCTGTGGGGGCATGCGAACACTTAAAACCTGAGCAGCCTTAGCATTCAACAATGCATCTCGGCAGGCCCCCATGACATGCGAAAAAAAAGGTTGCCTGAATCCGAAGGCAAGAGATTAAGTGGTTTTTAAACCATCTGGAAATATCTGGAACATTCCATGCCGTGCACCGGTCAAAGAATTCTTGCATTCGCAATGGACCGTGCAATTCAATCCAACGCTCAGGCGCTCTCCAAAACGAACCCATGCAACCCTGGCACTAGAAACCCACGCTTCAGTCCAACCACGCTTTCATAGGAGGCTGTGCCTGGGTCCGCCATTCTCCGGGCGTGCTGTGAAGCTACGCGTGGGCGTAACATGGCGTAACCTATCACCACCCTTTACTTACATCTTGCAGATCTTGAAGTTGACAAACCCCGAAGGGTTGGAAAGAGCTCGGACTTTGACACGGGAATCGTGGTGCCCCCTAAGTGCCGGTCGGGATCCGGGAGGACACCTTTCATGCCTTGCGCAACAACAGCATGGCACGTTGGTCATCAATGGCGCACCTGCACACACATGCAAGGACAAATGGCCGCCCCACCTTGACCATCCTCCGTCGACTTCTGTGCTTCGTCCCCCTCCAAGTTCTCACCTGTTGCACGGGCTTCGGCACCCAAAGCGCGCTCTCTTTGACATATTCTCATGCGTCGCCAAGTTGCCTGTGATTTCTTCCAGCTGCATGTCCTCGTTCACCTCCAACGGGCCATGCCAAGAAAGCGAAAGAATCGCAAAATCTTCCGCTGTCTTGTTCACCTTGCTTCCTGCACATGAACCTTTAAAATACAACGGCCGACAGATGTCCTAATAAACGTAAAGGAATTCTTCACCTCAGCCGCGACCGTGAAGCGTCAGAGGTTACCTTTGGGAAGCCCCTGATTCCGCTCCAAACCCCCCCCCCCCCGCCTACCCACCCTACTTGCTGGTCGACAAGGAGGGTACCATGGTAGATTACAGGAAGATTGAAGAGCCCTCGCCCTGTCAACCCCACTCACAAGTCAACCTGAGCCGAAACCTTGATGTTTCATTCGGGGGCTCCTCCTTAACCAATCGCACTCATGTAGAGGGAGGGCACTAAACAAAACCTATGATGGCCCGCAAAACCCGCTGGAAAATATTCCTGAACATGATCCTCTTAATTCCAATAAGGGACAATAGAAGATGTTTCAGGGGCTTACCTAGAAACCCAACAGGCCCAAGCTACCGCAGCTCCTGCCTGCGAGGGCCTGGTTTGTGCACCTGGAAACTCCGGGTAATCATCCTCGTCGACCGGCCCGACTAAGGCCTTGGTGTTGGGGCTGACGAATGGTTTTCTTTAACCCCAGTCGGAATCCGAGCCCGATTGCTTGCACGATGTTCGGGCTGCCTTGCGGAAGGATTCAACTCTTATAAGCCTGATGCTATGTGGACGTTGGCCATGTACTTCTTGACCGTGGCCACTTCGAACATCAGCCTGCGCGTAGTCGCATGGAGTAGCTGTTCGACTGGGGCCGCATGGTCTGCAGGACACTAACTTAAGGTTTCTGCTCAAACTAGGGGCATCATCAGGGCCCCCTGAAACAACAGAATTGCGCGTTTGCTATTTTCCGCTTGCCCGCCAACTGCCCATGCACATCTGAAGACCTCACCAGCGCAACCAGCTCATGCAGGTACATTGGCTGAACTTCTCAAGGGTTTAGGGGTTAGGGGCGGCCCCAGCCAAACACACGGTCTTCGCACGGTGCCTCGCCACGTCAATGCTTTTTGCGCCCCCGCTGAACATTTGAATGCCGATGGCAAACTCCTTGCAAAGCCAATACATTGCTTGTTGACGAATGATCATTCTTGCGACAAGATGTCGACAGATTGAAAAGCGTTCCATTCCAAGGTCTTTGAAGGCGCTGCAGGGTCCTCAACAGACACGCTTCCGTTGTTCTGAAAGTCCAGCCTCAAGAAGGCTTTAGGATGAAACCCAAGCGAGAGAAAGCGAACTTTGCAAAGCTAGAGATGCAAGTGAAGACTAACACTACCAAAACTTGGTACTGGCGGGCCTGTCGCACAATGAACCCGTGACTTTCGCAAGCGCGACTACAAAATCAGCATCATGTAATCGGTTCGAATTCGAGCTGCATGTCGAAGACGTTTCTGAGGTCGGCTTCCGTGTCGATCGCTATCCTCAGCTGCAGCCGGAACCCAGAAGGCACGCCGACTTCAGGAATGCTGTGAGCAGCTGTGTTCTCAGCTAGTTGCAATCAAAGTGCCCAAGCTTCTTGAAGCATGTCTGAAAATGGAGATCTGCTGCACATTCCTGGAACTCCTGCAACATATCAACAATCGGCTCAAGGGTCGCCCGATGTCCACATGCAAGACCGGTGTTTGCCTTTCTCCGCGTCTTGCTATACGAGCTCACCTTCTATGCCTTGGCCAGGTGTGAAACGGTGATGCCCTTTAAGCTTTTCCGCACGTGTATTTGCACGCTGCGCGTCCTTCCTTTGGAAGCCGCGAGGCAAAAGGAAACTGCAAAATAGCCACGGGGCCTTTGGAATTCAAAGGCCGCGCCGAAGATCCCCACACAATTAAACGAGCCTTAAGAACCTGAAAGGCCTGAGAAGCTTGGGGCAGAGAGTGTCCGAGGAATGCGAGGAGGGTGGCCCGAGCCGGACGCTCCGGAGCCTGCAAACGTGGCCACCGCGCTCCTTGGCCGCCTGAGTGAGCCTGGGGGCGGTGCCTCCCCGTGCTTCACGAAAATCCAAGAGGCGGAGGCGCTCCTCAACTCTGCTTTGGGATCTTTTTCTTCTACGTTCGGCCCCGAGTCGCGGCCCTTCAGGGCCGCGTGCCGCTCGTACCAGTCATAGATACCGTCCAGGTGCTTGCATCGGGCCTCGTGGCTCTGCTCCGGGTGTCCCGAGTTGTGGGCCAAGTCAAAGTCCACGAAGAGCTTCCGCAGCGAGTGGCCGCAACGATTCATGAAATTATCCTTGACACCCTTCATGTCGAAGAACTGAAGCTGCTTCCGCTTGGCCTCCAAGGCCTCATGCTCTGCTCTCCACGAGATGCGGGAGTGCGAGACGGCTTCCTGCTTCTGGACCGCCGCTTCTCGCTCGGCCATCCAGTGCGCGACCTGCTGGTCCAGACTCAGTGCCTGCTTGATCTGCTGCTTCCGCTGCTTCTGTGCCTCCTCAACTAGCCGGCCCACCCTTTGGTTGACCTGCCCCACTCCCACCTCACGCTCAGGCTTGCGCTCAGGAGTCCTCTGTAGCACCGCCGAAGCCGAAGCTGGCCTGAAACTGTTCCTCCTGCTGTCATGGCTCGTCTGTCGCTCAGCAATTGACTCAAAGGTCGTTTGCAACACGGCCTTCGGTAAGGAGGCACTCTCTTCAGAATGGTGCTTTCCCATGTAGCTGGAGGTCGAATAGGCTGATGTCCTCCGGCTGTCCGCCGCGGCAGAGGTCCGCCGGCTGCTAACAGCAGCCGAAGTCCGCCGGCTGTAACCCCCATGGCCATAGCCACCATAAGCGGCAGAAGACCGCCGAGTACTGCTTGCGGAACCGCGGCGGCTTGCAAGCATCACCGGTGAGAGGTCAGACCCAGAGTCTAGCTCAGAGTGCTGTTCCCGGCTAGGCTCCTCGTCGCCAAAACTGTCGGCTTCGAACAGTGAGATTTGTGGAGTGTGCTCCTGCAGCACAGCGGGCTCAGCCTTCTCAGCCACTTTGCGCACAAACTTCTGTAGCACGTTCATCTTCGGGTCAGTGTACAATGCAGCACTCCGGGCGGCTCTTGGGGCTGTTTGATAGCATGGCACCGCGAATACTCGCACAGGTGGACGACTGTCGCTCTTGTCCTTCCGCTTGCGGCGTCCTTTTGAGCCTTGGCGTCCTTTTGAGCCCTTGGAAGCCTTGGAAGCTTTGGACGAGGAAGAGACATTGCTCGATCTTCGAATGCTCGACTTGCTTCCCACCATCAGGAGGGTGTGCCGTGGTAGTCTATCTCCATCGTCTTCTTCGCACAGCCTAATTAGCCCTGACACCTTTTGAGCCGGAACAAATCGTCAAGCTCGCATCCCACAAGCTGCGCGACCGATCAACGCATGTCAGCCACGACGTTTAGAGTAGCATGCCACAGTATGCATTCTGGGCATTCACGTTTCGGCAAAGAGTCCTCCCAGTTCACGTTGCCTGCGGCGGGGAGGGGTGGGCTGCCGGGTGGGCGCTGGCTTGCCATGCGCTTCCTTGTGCCCTGACCAGCTAAGGATGGACTGCCTGGAGCAAATTTTAACTGTGCTCCCACAGCTCTAAACCCTAAACCCTACACCCTAAACCCTAAACCTGATCCGACCCATTTTTATCCTGCTGTCGAGGAGCCGGAGTTGTCCTTGTCGCATTCTTGAAAGAGGCGACTGACGGTGTCCACATACTCCTGACAATGCCGGCGGCTCAGAGGACAGCCACTGCTTGACGCCGACGAGCCAAGCATGTGCCATTTCAAAAAGTCCTTTCGAGCTCTGAGTTCTTCCATCATGCACATCTCCTGATGCGGGGCGGCGTGCGCTGCAAGAGTCGGTACTAACATCAGCACAGAAGACACACCTCATCAGCGGCGGTCATCCGGCTAGCATTTTCCACAAAAACTCCAGTCATCACCTCGGTGCAGCAAACTCCCCATCACAAAACCATGACGACCTCCAACTCGCTTTATCAGCTCTCTGCCCCGGGGATGCCGCGTTGAGAACGCAGAAAAGTGCAAACGCCATGTAAACCTCGCATCTTTGCGCTTCGAAGGTTGGCGTTCTCAGTCATGAAGGAAGGGCCGTCGCTGCTTTGCTGCAGCTCGACATTGCAGCGCGGCAGAGGTGCGGCCCAAGACACGACGAAGAGCAATGCCAGAAGAGTGCTTACGTTGTTTAGCATCCTGGCAACGTCCGCCCAATCGACACCGCCAGACCTCAGCTCATGCTGCCGTTGCCATCCTAAACCCTAAACCCTAAACCCTAAAAGAATGGGACCTGGAGCGTGGGCCACTTGGGGCCATCTGGGCCTTGGACATGGAAGAGAACAGCGTGAAGATGCCGCTGGGCCTCAGTGCACGTGCGGGCCGGGGGGCGTGCCCGTTCATGAGTGCTTTTGGTCCGCTTCTGAGCCGCGACTGTACTACCGTACCCCTAAACCCTAGACCCTAGACCCTAAACCCTAAACCCTGAAAAGCACTCCGTCTCTACAGCCGGGCCCTAGGAGTTTCGGTGGAAGCCCCCTGAGCCTCTGACATCGATCCGAAGTGTAGTTGGAGCTCTTGGATTTCTGTGGCCGATTCTAAGGACGACAGGTACGGTCGCAGCAGCCTCGGAGGTAGCTCACATTTTGCAATCCACGTGCGCCCCCCGCCGTATCTGCGTACACCACATCCCTGCAGCGAGGGAACTGCAGGATGCATGCTGCAACCGCAAACCTTGGTTTCGAGCGAATCTCTCAGAACACCGTGACAGCGCGTTTACGCATCATGCGGGAGCAACATTAGCAAGTAGGAAGTGATGCAATGTCCTGAAAACGGTCGCTCCCAAGTGGCATCAACATGAGGAGGAGTGCCAGCGCCCACACCAGCGTCTTGGCTGACATTAGGATGCCTCCCAAGCTGTCCAGGCGTGCAGCGCCATCTAGGGGGCTTTGGGGGCTTTGGGGGCTTGATGGTGTGGTGTCCGGGTACCCAACATGGGTCCAAGGACTTCTGTCTGCAGCCTTGCACCATAACTCGCAAGTCGGTGAAGTAGCGGACAACCCGAAACACTCCTTGGACTGTTGCCGGCCGAACACATCATCGCGCACCGGCAACAGCTGCACACATGCTCACAGCTTCCGTTCCTGCCTGGGAGTGGAGAACCAGCGCTCCCTAAACCCCAAACCCTAAACCCTAAACCCTAGACCCAGAACCCTAAACCCTTAGCTCTTCAGAAACAGCCCAGCTGCGTAGAATGCGGAGCAGTCGCGCGAGTCTGAGAACACGCAGGGCCGTAACGTTGACGCCAGAGGCAGCCCGGCTCATGATCTCCTTGGTCACTCGATTCTCTTGGCCCCCTAAGCCCTAAACCCTAAACCCTAAACCCTAAACTCGAAACCCTAAACCCTAAACCCTAAACCCTAAACCCAACGTTGGACACGGCAGCCATGGGCGAGGTGCATCCACGATCGAGCTGAGCACCAACAAGCCGTCAAATGTGTTCCAACCAATGTCCTGATGGCAGTTTACGATCTTAGGGGGGGTACCTTAATGGGATCCCTCGTTATAAGGGGATCCTACTATTTGGGGTCTATTCGCCTCGGCTTCCTGCCGAGAAGCGTCTGGAACAAGCAGACCCCCCCCCCCGCCCTGTGGGACCCCCCCCAATCCCTTGGAGGAGCTGCAAACCGATGCCGTGGAGGGTCCCGCTTGTTGGTGGCTCCTACAGGGGGAGTGCCTCAAAAACACCCCCCCACCCCCCCAAACCCCCCCCACCCCCCCCCCCAACCCCCCCCCCCACCACCCCCCCCCCCCCCCCCCCCCCCACCCCCCCCCCCCCCACCCCCCCCCCCCCCCCCCCCCCCCCCCCTCACCCCCCCCCCAACCCCCCCCCCCCACCCGGGTTGGCCCGGCTGGCGAGGCGGTGCGCGCAAGCGTTTACAATATTAGGGGCCCCTTATGATCGTAAAACCTTGAATGGCCCTTGCCTTAAAGGGGCGGCGGGGACCCCGAAAAGTTACCGGTAACATTTCCAGGCCTCTCGCCGGGCATCTGGGAAAAACGTGCAAACCTACCCCACAATCCGTGTAACATTTCAAAGACGTAAAGGAGACAGAAGACTAAAGCACGTATGTGTAGGTCTTTGTGTGGGCGAGACACACAAGCTAAAATGTTACAAAGCCGCCAAAAAGGTTTCCACGAACCGTCGGTAACTGACGCAGCGCCCCCCCTTGGAAACATTCCTAAAGCAGGGCCATAACCTTGATGACTTTGCTCACATGTCTCTGGGGTAGGCCATTGGTCAACACTGCCCCGTGAAGTCGAAACCTCCAAACCTCCAAATGCACTCGAAATGCACCCGAGCAGCCGGATTTTGCCACACATACATAGCCCGCCCCCATGCAAAGACCCTAATCCCAAACTCGACCAAGAAGAGCAGCGTGAAGGAAGCCTTGCGCAAGGAGGAAAGCGCCGTCTAGCATGTCCGACTTTGGAGAGCCTAAGAAGAAGAAATACCGGCAACTGAGGCCAAGTGACACCCAGCACGTCGAAAACAACCTGGAGTTCACACAAAGATCTGGAAGGCAAAGGCTCAGCGCAAGCAAGACGACCCTGACGGCGCGCGTCGCCTGATCTGACACATGCAAGTAGCTGGCTCCTGTGCAGAGTAATTCTGGACTCCCCAGTCGACTTGCCAACCTGAGATGCTTTTTGAGCAGGTTCAGGCAGCTGACCAGGCAAGCATGCTGCAGGTGATTTGTGGGCATCCGTCGAAGAATTTTGGGGACTGGGTGCCAGCAAGGCACCTAGACTACAGCAGTTCAGAAAGATGAGAGTTGCCAGTGTCTTCCCGAACCTCAAGGCTCCGAGTGCACTTGAAAAGGAGCCCAACTCAGGTGGACAAACTGGCGCAGACATCAGGAACTGTCAGGAATGGCCAAGGCACGACGTAGATTCCAAAAATTTCCGGGCTCTTTTACGCCAGGCCTGCCACATGAGCATTGGCCAAGGGCCCTTGCCTTCAACCTAATTATGAGCTCTTCCTGGCCAGGTGGCCACAGCGCGCCTCCATCCTCGTGTCCGTTTCTAGTATGGGCTCCGATCCAGTCCACCATCTCCGCATATCCCTGAGCTGGTCAATCGAAAGGAAACTAGCATTACTAGCATCTGCAATGCCTGCAACGAGCCAAAAGGAACCCATGCCCAGATCCATGTCAGGATGAACGGACCGACATGGTTTCAGGATTCTGGTTTTGGGGGGTTGAGATTGCTTTGTTTTCAGGTCATAGCCTTTGAACCAACGAACACAAACCAGTCCAATGACGACAGCAGAGCTAACGGCAACTACACCGTCGTCGACGGCAGCGGCAACAAGAGCAAAATCAGCAGCAGCAGGCTCCCGCGCTGAGCCAACCAAGCGCAGCGAGCATCACGAGCATCAGCTGGGCCCCGCCACCACAAACCACAAGAGCCAAAAGGGACGACAACAACAACAACCAACCAACCAACCAACCAACCAACCAACCAACCAACCAACCAACCAACCAACCAACCAACCAACCAAACAAACAAACAAACAAACAAACAAACAAACAAACAAACAAACAAACAACAACAACAACACAACCACCACCACCACCACCACCACCACCACCACCACCACCACCACCACAACCACCACCACCACCACCACCACCAGCAGCTGCACCGGCACAGCAAAACCTTGTGGTCGCAACCTAAAGGCACGCGGAACAGAAGCATTGAGTTCGCCTGACCGGCCTAGGCACGAGTTGGACCACGGACCTTCGCGTTGCTCATTGATCCTTCTGGGTTCTTGGCTGTTTGTTGTGTTGCTTTTGGTTTGGTGGTTGTGGGTCTTGTCTTGCCTCTTGCGCTGGTTGGTGCTTTGGTTTTTGTTTTGAATGAGGTTCGGGCGTTGTTTTCATTGTCGCTTTGATTTTTGTTTTGAGTGTCCCCTGTTCTCGCTGTTGAATGGGTGGCTGTCCTTGCTTGTAAAAGTCTATTCTGGCATACTCAAAAGGTGTTATGTGTTGTGCTTTGTATGCTTGGCAGCAGCTCAAGAAAGAAGCAAGCCAGGCAAGCAAGAGGGAGGGTGGGGGGGTCGTTGTCTATAGCGGCCGTCATTCTCATTCGTCACGTTGTGCAAGACTTCTCTGCCCAGGTGCTGGCCAGCGTGCGGCAGCTCCACATGGAACTGCCTCATTGGCAGCAGCCTAAACCCTAAACCCTAAGCCCTAAACCCTAAACCCTAAACCCTAAACCTGAAGGCTCTGAACATGGAGCGGCCTCGTGAAGGATCGCTTCAGAGGGCCTCGTTGAAACGCCACCCTCTTCCTTAGTTCACAATATCATTGTTTGCATGGAGAGCTTACGGCCCCTGCAGGAAACAAGCCGAGGTGCTGGTTTGCGGAATCCTGCAGTGGAGCAATGGTTCGGCATGGACTCGCTCCGCTGGCTTCTCGATCCACTACCTCACTGCGCGCCTTCGAGTTCGTGCGGGTTGTCTCCTCCTCGTGTGCACCAGCCACCAAGGCAGGCCCATCCGTGGGCCCAACTGAATGAGGCGGCGCAACCACGGGTCGCCTGACATTCCCTATCATTCAGCCCGTGTTGGCAACGAGGTGCAGCGCAGCACAGCGCAGCACAAGACCTGCCTGCTCAGCGAGGCCTGACCACAACAGAAGGCGCCCAAGCAAAAAGCAGAAGCTGCGTTGTATGCAAACTACCGACATGTTCCGCACCCACATCATGCAGGTGGTGAGAGCACGAGGGAAGCTGAAAGTGGGCTCTCTTCTTCTTAGCGGAGTGAGACACGGATAAGCTCTCTCGTTCTCCCTGTCACCGCCTGGGGTGCGCCGAGAGACTCGATTCTCTGGTCGAACCCCGCCTCAGCGTTCCAAACGAGGGACATCACGGAACTACAAACGAGGATGCCAAACCGGACCAGTGCTTCAAGCATAGCACTAAATCTACTAGCGGCCATGGTTTATAACGTGCTTCGGGCCTGGGCGTTGGCCCTTTACATCGTGTGCCAGAAAAATGGGGCGAGATCACGCGAGCCGCTACCCTCGAAGCGACGAAGCCGACACGCATCGGACCATCGGACCTTCACCCCTGTTGATCCCTTTTTGGCATCTGGGCAGCCATTGCAGCCCCATCGCCCATCGATCTTCGGCAGCGCCCTACTCCCGATTGCGCAAATTGGCAACAGTTCACGCCCCAAAACAAGCCCGTAATGTATATTTTTAGGGCTGTTCGTCCGCAGATACTGCTCAGCAGATCTGCTGAGCTTTGTTGTGCATGTACAATGCTTGTTTAACCAACTGGTAACTTTGGGCTCCGTCACCAACCACAACTGCGTCCCCAGGCGCCAAGATCGACAGGTTGAGGCGCGCTTCCTGCTCCTTCAGAAGATCTTGGAAAGAAGCCAGCAGGTTCGTCTCCTGCCTCAGATGCACAGCCCGTGCAATAACAGACGCGGAACGAACGCTTTTTGCAATGCCACTCAAGGCAGCCGTCTGCGTTGAGATGAGCATAATCGCAACGAAGATCTTGCCATCATAGCTGATTGAATAGCAACAATACTATTTAACTACTACTTGCTCCGAGTCACTCAAGCAGCAATTGCTGCAAAGCCCTGGTGGCCTCAGCTCTCAGGAACCAAGAAGCGGAGCTTCGGGTGTGAGCGCGCGAAGCTGTTCAATAACTTGCCCGGGTTGTGCTTTTTGGCATGTTTCTTGCAGGCGAAACCGCATTTCCCTCGATACTTTTAAATTGGTGAAACGGTTCGACGGCCGTTGGACAGTTCCTGGCTAAAGCAGGTGAAACTCAAGCCCAGCTACGCCCGCTTTCGTGATAGACCCTGAACCCTAAACACCCTAAACCCTACAGACCTGTAAACCCTAAACCTCGCTTTAAACCCTAAACCCCATAAACCCTTAGCCCTGTAAGCCCTAAGCCCTATAAACTCTATAAACCCTATAAACCCCCTAACCCTATAAACCCCCCTAAACCCTATAAACCCCCAAACCCTGTAAAAAAGCCCTCCGGCCGGGCCTCCCCAGCATCGATGCCGACGGCCTCCTCGTACTGCTCATGCGGCGCCGAGGCCGGCATGGCAGCCCGGGCAGCTTTCCTCAACGTGACCTAAGCCTGGCCTGCTCTTACCAAGGGTCTCCTGGTGGCTTAAAAAAATAGTATATAGATATCATGTATATATGTATATAGATATATACATTTTTTGTATATACATATATACGTAATGATCACACAACTAATAACAATAATAGTCATCATCGCCCACCCAAGGAGTTGAGGCGAATTGGCTTACAGTTTGCAGAGGTCGTGCCCAAGTCATGGAATGTTTCGCTCCAGCTTGAATACGGCACAGAACGGAGCTGCAACCCCAAGCAAACGGACCGTTGCCACACGTCTGCATGGCAAATGCGCCCCCCAAAAAATATGGTAACTCTAGGAATGAGTCCAAACTTCAAACACTGACAGAAACATCCTAAGGCACTTGCAAGCACCTTTTCCGCTTCAGGCCCAGCCAGGCAACATCACGGCACACACCATGCTGCATGCAGAATGCTCAATCAAGTGTGGCGTGAAACTGCCATATTTGCAATCCGAATGCTCCGGCCAGCACGAAGCGACGATCAGAAGGGCAAAAGCAACAAGCCTGCTGCAAGACACGGGCGCACATGTGCAAGCCTGCGAATGGAGGGACCCGCGGGCAAACAGTTGCTGATAAGGCTGATATGCTGCCAGAGAGCTTGAACACTGCAGGTCTCCAGCTGTGTCCTCTCCATCACTTCGAGAACGCTGGAATCGGGTCGGGCTGAAGCCTGCCAGCGCAGCCACACAATCCATCTCAATCCATCCTGTACTAGACACGCCTCAAACGAAAGTGTGCTATTCTGTCTGCTCTCTACCTCATGGGTCTTATACTTTCTAAGGCTCTGAGGCCAAGATGCCGAAGAGGCCTGCTGCCCGACTTGCCAACTGCAGATGGTTCTGCCCGCAGCTGCGTTGGAAATTCGCACGGTTCCCTTCTTGCTGCCAGTAAGTATCCAGTTGCCGCAGGGGGAGATGTCCGCACAGAGAATCGGCTCTTGCAACACTTCGAGCTTGATGGCCAGCTCGCCAGAACTATCCCAAATCACTCCCTGACCATCCTCCCCAGCTGTCAAGACTCGTGATTGATCTGGGAAGAGCATCAGCACGTTGACCAGGCCTTCATGGCCCTCGGCAAACTGGCAAAGCAGCTGGCCGTCATCAGAAAACTTTTCGATTGAGCCAAGGCTGCTGGCAGTGACTATACAACCACCGTAGGGAGAGATAACAAGAGCACTGAGTCCACAACCCCCCTCGGTCAAAAACTCCTCATTGTCAAGGCGCCAGATTTTGGCGACCCCGTCCAAACCCAAGGTGATCATCTGTCTGAGATTGGGGAAGACGCAGCCGGACACCACGGTAAATTTGTGGTTCACCATCACAAAGCTGGACAGCCTGCTTGTTGGTGCCACCTTCCATACCCTGGCATACCCATCGCATCCGCCAGTGAGCAGACATTTGCCATTTGGGAAAGGGGAAACAAATAAAGCCCCGCCGTCATGCGCCACTATCTCATGGAGCTGCTCCCCTGCAGAATCCCAAACACGCACACAGCCATCTTCTCCGGCCGTCGCAATGTCGCCTTGCACAGGAAGCACGCAGGCACCGAAAATGGTGAAGGGCACCTTGACTCCAAATTTGGCCCTGTAGCCGTGGCCCGGGACGTCACAAAGCATCTCAGGCCTGGACACATCGCACCTGTGTCCTCCAAAGCTTGCGTGGACATCGACATCTACCGGGGCCTCAGCGTCGCTTAAGAGCTTTGGGTCCGAAGGCGCGTCCAGATGAACAACGCCATTTGATTTCACTACCGGCGGCTTGCTTCGGAGGTATGCACGGCGTGTCAAGCGTTGAGCTGCAGGATCTTTGGCTTTGGCCTTCGTCTTTGCTTTGGCTTTCGCCCTTATCATCGCTCCTCACCATGAAGCAGCATGGAAACGGCCATTGGCCGCGCCACAGGCTGGGCCACAAAGCCACAGAACCTGCCGCCTGTCATGGCACTGAGGGGGGAGAGCCAACGTTAGCCCCTGCATCGGTTCATGGGTGCATGCATAGTTGAGTTCTGACTTGTCGCCGTCTGACTTAAAGGTTCATGTATCTGACCGGCCTCTTGGAGAGATACGCCGCATGAAGGTATCAAAGCTTCGGCAAGGCTGTGGGGGTTCACAGTTTGCGGTCTGGCTGCCAGCCTCATTCTCGAGCCACAGCCCAAAGCAACGAGCGGGGATTGAGACTGAGACTTATAATGACAAGCAATAAGCCTCATCTTACGAATGAAATCCTGATCACTACTCATCATCATCATGCTAATCACTTGGGGGCCTTGCTGACAGGCACCCAATCATATCTTTTGTGATGATTCTAAAGATGGTTTATGGTTCCTGTGATTATGAGAAATAATGTGTCTTTCGAAGTAATTGCCCCCGCCCCTAGTAGGCCATGGCCTGGGACACCATCATGAAAGAAGCCGTAGGAAGTAATGACAATTCTCAACCTTTGGGCGTCAGCATGTGAGAGGCAATGGCCGACTCACTTTGAAAGAATCATTATGATACTCATGATGATTGTGCTAATCATAGTAATCATAGTTATAATAATAATCCTGATACCAAGACATCATAACTACCTTAATTGTCCGGTGTTTGATTGCTGTGCGCCAGGCCTCCGGTTCTGATTTTCGTTGGCCCGGCTCCCAAGTTTGCCCACGGTCTGGGCGAAGCAACGTTGTCTACGTCGCTCTTCGTTGTTATAAAATCTGCACCATGCAATGGTCGGAGCGGGCTTGTCATCCGTCTCAAACATACACCAGGAACAGGCTAGGTTCACGACACAGTACATATGCACCTGGACATCCTGGACACCAAACCCTGCTCAGGAAGGTTGTAAGTTCAGGCACCAGGTCCTACAAAGACCTGGTCCCGAACCTCAAAGCGAGCGGATGCGTCGGCAAGCACCTGGCAGCAGTGCAACTCTGGGGTGTCGAAGCCCCAAACACTCATTCTGCGCAGTTGATGCTGCAAGCAGCTTCTGCCTTCGCGCTCTCGCTATGTTCAGATATGTCACCTCTCTCCGGGCCCGATCAACAAACTGCCTACAAGATGCCTGCAAGCCTGCAAGTATCACGTCGTGCTGTTCTTTGCCGTGCATTGCATCTGGGACACCGTCCCAGGTGCAAACCCGGACTTGTGAAGAGACGTGACGAAATGGCTATGCAGTGCCCAAGTGTAAGTTGGGCATCCCGCACTCGCAAAGCTATTTACATATGCCGCCCTTTTGGACGAACACCCAGATTGCTGATTGCCTTTGGTGTCTGAGGCGCTCCACAATCCGCGGACGTGTAGCCTTTTCAGCTACCAAAGATGGAACTCATTGCAGCATCTGACTGTTGACGAAAGCTCTCTGCGCCACATTGCTTCACAGGCCAACGTGATGAAACAAAAGGAAGTTGAGCGTTGGTCCTTTGCGTGTAGTGCTTGCACTTAGGAAAGACACCGATCCATTCTTGGCCTAAGAATTCGTCAGCCTTTAAAAGTGGCAACAGTGACAGTCTTAAACCCCTTCTGCGCGCTGGTTCCGGAAAACGTCGTCGAAGCGAGTCGATCTTCAATACTGCCATCTTGCCAAGTGTGACAGATCCGCACCAGTTCCGCCGGGTGCCTCGTGCAAATCCGGATAGAAGACCTGAGTGCTGCATGTGGCGAAACACAACCCTTCAGCTGTTTAATCATGTTACGAGCTGCGGTCTGCGGTCTCGCCGACAACCTGTGTCTAAGCAGCCGACTCCACATTGCGGGCAAAAGCGGTGGAAGCAAGCGCGAGCTGATCCACACCAGGGACCTAGCAGTGTCAAAATGGGCGGGTTTTCCGAAATAAAGGGTACCTTATTGGGGTCTGTATTGGGGGGGGGGTCCCTTTATTTTCGTAAACCCCCACATGTAAAGCAGCACTAGGCTGCCCTCCGTACACCGGACCAAGCTGCAGAAGTTGTGCGTCGTGAGCTCGGGAGGCATGGCGTTGAAGAGCAGATCTCCTGAAACTTTGCACGCCGAAAGACGAGTTCGCAAGCAGCAAGAGGCAACAAACGGCCTGGGCAAGGCCAATGGGGCGAACCCCGCACTTCCGGCAACCCTGGCATGCCTGCATCCGGACATCTGTCGGGCTAAAAGTGCCACACGTATCCAGATTTACACGCGACAACACACACGGGGCTTGTCGGGACGCCTTGCTGCATCAAATCCAAAATGGCGGCCATCTCCGCTGCCAAAGCATCGGCAGAGCCGCCATCATAATCCATTGCAACATCTGCCGTGCCTGCTGAACTCCAATGCGCCAAAAGACACTTATCACTGTATAATAGTAATAATAATAATAATCATCATCATCATAATCATCATCATAATAATAATAATAATGCTGTGGGATGCCGTGCCTGCTGTGGTCGACCGGCTCCAATAATCTGTCATCTCGTGGCCTGCAACATCTGGGAAACATTTTGCAAAAAAACGTTCTTCCCGAGATGGCCCACGACGCCTTGTGACACATCTTCCAACCCGGGCGGCTTCGAGAGAACCAGGTCCATGCCATCGCATGGATGGCTGTAGGCCTACCAGATTTCAGCACCATCCCTAACTGCAGTTCATGTTTCTAATTGGTGGCCTTCTGTACGATGTTTGCATCTGTCCAGGCATCGTCTGCCTCTGACAGCCCGATGGGGTCCCACACCAAAGCTGCGCCTTCGAAACACAGGCCGGCGTCGGCATGCCGATGGTGCCAGACCAACTCCAGTCAAACAGTGTGCACAGCCTTCGTCGGTCTCCGGCGGGCAATCTTCAAGCTGTAAGTCGAGAGGGTTCCACATCAGTTCTGACAGTGTCTCATCCTGCCCACGGCCGCACGCGATACTGAAGAGGTGACTGACGCATTCAAAACGGCAACTGGACCTCCTCTTCAGCCCGAAGGAGTGGCGAAGCTGTGGACTCTGACCCTGCCCGGGCTCGCGGCGAGCCTTCCATGCAGGTGGCATATGCAAACAAAGAGCGATAACTCGAAAGCTTACAAACTGGTCCCAGCAAGCTCGCCATGTTTCTCCAATTGCTTAATGAATCCAAGAGACCATCCAAGCCACTGTGAAGCTTACCAACTTCATTCCACAATCGCAGCATGTCCTGCTTGTCGATGACGGCAGCCAACACCTGCAAGTATTCAGGGTTTAGGGTTTAGGGTTTAGGGTTTAGGGCTACAAGTAAACAAGACATTGACATGTCAGCTTTGGTTTTACCAATCGAGGTCCCGGCTTGTCGTGTCAATATTTCATGCGCGTCAGTGTTCAATCCCATTGTGGAACCTGAAGCTTGCGATGCCACAATCACTACAATGTGTCCAAACTAAATGCCCCACACATTTTCAGCCGAGGGACAATGGAGGGGTTCTCGCTGAACAAACTGTAAGAAATAAGGCTGCAGGTCTAAGGCATTTACGTTACCAGCTTTGGCGTTTCATGCTGCATGAGCCATGCTAGTAGATCTAGTGGAAATCATAGTATTTCGGCTTGCCTGCCACCAAACAGGCTTTCGAAAAACTCATCGTCGAATTTCTGCGTGAACGTATTGTGCTTCCACGCCGCGTGCGTCGTACTTACACGCGCGCACAGTTTCGGGGCGTGGTTTCCAGGCATGTAAGTGCCGTTAACATTCCCCGTAATCTGAGGCGGCACGCGCGAGATGTGGGTGTCAACAGTGAGCGGCTGCAAGGTTTGAACTCCGCAAGATAACCACGATCTCCCCTCAGCCGGTCTGCGGAGGCTTCCGCGGAGCTTACGAGGGGCTTGATGATCAGGATGACGGTTGAGTCCGTTACATGTGTTGGAAACAACAAAGGACGGCGTGTCGTCGAGTCTGGAACGGGGCAGGCTCGTGTTGGAAACGCTGGCGGTTTTTTTCCCCGCATGTGGCCCACAATCTCAGCTCTGGGGCCTGGCCTACCGAACCTCGGGCGGAAGGCAAACGGAGTCAGAAAAGTCCTTGGACATAATCGCGATGGAATCCGAAGCGCAGACCACCAAGGCCACCACACAACCTTCGTGTATCGGTCCCCCGCAGTTGGCTCAATCTGCGCCACAAGCAACCCATTTGGCTGAAGCTTTATGGCTCCAGGGAGGCTCAAGGTGTGCCAGGGGCTCAAGGGGGAAGGGTTCCACGCGACGCCATAGTGGTGTGTGATGAAAGCAACAATGACTCCGCCGGCAAAGGGTGTGAAAAGAGAGAGGCCGCACGATCCCCATTACATGAATTGGACGGTGTGTCGAGGAGCTCGACCCACCGTGAGATGAGGAGAGGCATTTGCAAGTGTCTGCCCGCACCATCGCTGACGTTGTGCGTCATGAATGCAAAATGATGTCCAGATTCGAGTAGAGGGCATCGAGCTGCAATTGAAAAGTCATGCCGGTCGCCTTGAAAAAATGGAGCAGTTGCTGGACTCACACCACCTTCTGCGAACATGAACATGGGGTCAGACAATGTATGGGCGGTTCAAGACCCGCCGGTCCCCAATTCGAGCAAGGAATGGGTTTGAGACGGCAGCTGATCCAGTGGGGATTCGTCAAGCAAGAAATCAGGATTGATGATGGCTTCAACAGCGTGCACATTGGCTCCTTGTTGGTTGTGAGGGTAACCAACAAAGATGATTCTTTACAATGCAAATGGGCGGACACATGGGCAGATTGGACAGTTGTTGTTAATGATCGAGCTGGCTCCCTAAAAGCATCGACTGGACGGCCGAGAAAGTTCCAACAAAGCCCCCGAAGCAGCTGGCGAAACCATGGCCGGATTGAATTTACCTCATGGCGCCGCATTTGCGCTCGCCTCCCTGTACATGTCGGCTCCACGTCTATAAGTAGAGCGCGCAAAAGTTGCTCGACCTTCGCCCTCAAGGCACAAGGAAACTCTAAACCCTAACCCTAACCCTAAACCCTGAACAGGTATATGGACCATTAACCCTTTTATGGTTCATGCTGTCCCCACCCTCAACCCTAAACCCTACTTCCCAAAAAGGTTCCTTTGACCCTGTTCCCACGTAGAAGAAGCCTGATGGGTCTACAAAACGCTTGAGCTAATCATGGCCAGTGCTGATGGCACTCCACAAGATCAATTGCATCAGATCACTCTGCAAAAAAAAAAACCGATAACAATTAGCGATTTGTTTGCTTAAATGGAATTGATGAAAGAACCTCCCGTCGCAAGCCAGCATGATTGGTTTTCGGAGGCTCCAGGGCCTCACGTCTTTGCTTCGCAGCGCTGAATTGACCGAAGCCGGCAACAAGGTCTGGGCGACGCAGGATCTCACGCGAGAGAAGCGAACTCGCGAAACGTTGTTACTTGGTCCATGATGGTTACAGTACAGTCAGCTCAATGTGGGGTTCTTCCGTGGTCCTCAAGCTATCCATGCAATTGGGTTGATGCATGGGCGCAACGGGAGGATTTGCAGACAAGCGAGGAATTCAAGCAGCGTTTACAGTCGCCAGTGCAAACAACTCCTTGCAGAAGATGGGTGGGGCCAAGGGTAGTGGCAAAAGCAAATCGGGAGTGGCTGAGGCCACTTCATAGGGACAGCTCCGTTCGGGTCCAGCAGTTTAACCAACACAGTCGCGATCAGTCGCGCACTTCAGGTCACACACCTGTTATCAAAGTGGGAGAAGCCGACTGATGCATTTCCGGCACAGACACATCTATGGGTTTTGTTTTCCAAGAATGCTCGTTTACACACGTCAAACAAGCTTGCGGAGATGCTGAGTGAGTTATCAACTTGCGATTGGGAAGTGGTGCTATTCAGTGAGACAAGTCGGGCACATAAAAAGAAACTGCAAAATTACAAGACGGCCATCTTTTTTTTTCTTTATACACCTTGCAACAGCATGCAAGTTCAGCAGGCGTCGCTGTTCTATTGCATGCTCATCATGTGCACCCTGGCCCCAGACTTGATGCACATTGCCCTCAGGCGACGCCTCCGCCTGCCGCTACCATTGACCGCCCTGCAATGTGGAGGCGACGGAGCTCCCGGCTGCCATGGACAGGCCGATGCGTTAGGTGACCACTTCGTCGCCTGCCCGCGTGCTGGCTTGCTGCCGCGCCGAGGCGCGTGGGTGCAGGTCGCGCGCGAGGCGGTCGGGGCGGAGGGCCGAATAGTGCCACAGCAGTGGCTGGCCCGGACCACGGCACCTGGCGTTGCGCCTGCGGACCGCCGCCGCTTGGACTTGGTGGTGTACGGGGCCACGCCGGGCGGTGAGGCACTCTGTTGTGACGCGACGCTTGTCTCGCCCCTGACGCGAGCGGGTCGCCCAGTCCCAGGTGCCGACGTGCGAGACGGGGCCGCGCGGCGGAGGTGGGCGGCAGGTGGGGCGAGGAGTGCCAGCGCTTCGTTCGCCAGCTCCTGCGTCTCCGCGTTCAGAGGGCCCCTGCAACCCTGCGTGCCACGGCGGCCCAGGGGTGGGCAAGGCGATGGTGGGGCCTGCTCTCGGTCGCCGTGCAGAGGGCAGTTGCCAGCACGGCCCTGGGTGTCTGGACGATGCCGGCGCTGCCGAGCTCGCCGGACGGGGTCCCCCTCGCTGATCTTGTCCTTGAGCTCGCCGATTTCGCGGGGCCCAGCCGCCTGCCGCTTCGGTGAGACGTGTGTACATAGGGGGGGTGTGGGGACCTGGATCACGACCGCCGCGAGAGGGAAAAAAAAAATCTTATGAATCTTGTTGAAAACCTATGAATCTTGTTGAAACCCATCATGTGAGCATTGTGAATCTTGTCGAAGCCCATCGTGTGAGCGTGGTGGTTACAAATGGGGGAGGGGGGCAGCTGGGGGGGGGGGGTTGCGCCCCCAACCCCCTCGCTTCTTTTAAGCTGTGCAAAGCATGCCTCAATTCTTATGAATCGTGTGAGCATGGTGGTTGCACAAGGGGGGGGGGGGTTGCATGCTTCAAGCCTAAGAAATTGGCCGAAACCCATCGAAAAACGAAGAAAACGAACCAAAAACAACATTAATCAAATTGGGGGGGTAAGAATCTGGCTGAAACCCATGCTTAGATCATACGAAATCCTACGAAAAGTAGCATGAATCCTGAGGGAATGAAGTTTTTTCCTAGAGAGGGGGGAAGCCAAGAGCCCCGACAAGAAAACGGAAAAACAATTATAAAAAAAACGGAAAAAACATGAGGAAGAAAAACCTTCCGCAGATGCTCGCTGCCAACAGCAGAGCCAGCCGGAAGCGTCGGCGTAACGCGATCTGCCTCTGGCAGGAGGGAGTGGCTGTCGTCTGAGGGTATGGCTCCGCTTGTGACCGGAGGAGAGCTTGGGCAGCTGGTTCCATGGTCGGCAGCAGCACGCGTAGGAGTTGGCCGTCGGGCCTGGATGACCGGCAAAACCGTCGGCCTAGCCCGCCGAAACTAGTTGGAAGCTCTGCAACCTGGCGGCTCAGAAGCCTTGCCGGTACAGGCAAGGAACGTTTCCCAGACGGCGGCATCATGGGCTGCAGCGTATCCCGCGAGTTCCCGGGGCGGCATTGTGCGGAGCGCATGGTTGCAGCGGGGCAACGCGCACAGCGCTGCCGGAGCCCCGGCTTTGCATGAGGTGCTCGAAGAGGGTCGATGGCTTGAGGTCGCCGCCCCGAGCCGACTCCCGGCGCGTGGCTGAGCGTAGCTTGCACTGGGGCCGCGCTCCGACAAGTGGAAAATGTGCGCGACAAAAAAAGGAATGAGTGAGTGTAGAATACAGTTGCCACTGGCAAAATTTTTTGACATGTCCGAGCTCACCGTCTGTAGCCGGGACCTGGGCCCCGTCGGCACATGCTGCCCAGTGAGGCCGCTCATCCCAACCAGCCGCGTCTAAGCGCTCCGTAGCCGCCGCTGCCCGCACGCAGGGCGGTGCGGCGACTGCATCGCCTTCGAGCGCGCGCACGAGTTGCTGGGCGACGTCGGGGAAGCGTTGGCGCAAAACTGGGAGGGCATCTGCCCAAGCCGCCCAGTATGCAGCCGGCGCAACCCGCTCTGCAGCCAACAAGCCCAGGCCCCCCAAGCTGGGCGGCAGGAAGGCGCCGAGGCGCGCTGCAGTCCACGCAGCCTCCTCACCCGGGCCTTCCCCACCAAGAAGGCGCGTGACGACGTCCCATATCGCGTCATCGTGGGCCCGGGCATAAGGGAGGATGTGGTCGGGCGGGACGTTGCGGAGCAAATGCTGCGCCCGGGGCGACGCGCAGTAGACAAGGAGCAGCCACGCGCACTGGAGATCCGGCAGGAGCGGCAATCGCCGCAGCAACTCCGCCTCGGCGCGCAGGCGCTCTTCGGCCTGGGACGCAACGAAGTCCGGGTGGCCGATCGGGACGCCGAGTGCGACGAACCCACGCTGTTCGGGCGGCAAATCCCCCCGCCAGACGTCCGGGCCTAAGGCGGCAACGTCCGGCGGCGCTGCGCCTCCCTGAGCGTTGTATATTTGTGTCTTGCCGAGGTTGGCTGCGACGCCCGCGCCGCGCTCAACCTCACCTGCAACGACACCTCCCAGGTGCCCAGATCGCTCCGGCGTAGTCACGACGTAAAGATCGTCGAGAAACGCCAACAGGCGCTCGCCCTGTGCGAGGCGAGCAGCCGCCACCACGAGCGACTCGTGCTGGCCTAACGCATACAGGCCTGGCGCGAGGGGATCTCCCTGCTCAATCCCCTCTGCTTGGGAGATTTCGTGGAGGGTCCCCTCATCGTCCCACCACAGAAAAATGGACGTGCGGGCATAAATGGCTCGGGCGAAGGGCAAAAGTGCCGGCACCACCTCGCTGAGCTTGGATAGGATTGCCGCCCGGCTGATAGTATCATACGCACTCCTGCCGTCGAGGGAGACGACGGTCGCCCGCGGGTCGAACTCCACCGCAGAGCGCAGCATGGCAGCCAGGCTATCCGTGCCTGCACGGGTCCGCAACGCGAACTGAAACGGGCGCGTTGCTTCGTCGAGCTCCCCGGCATACGCGCGCGCCAAAGCACGAGAGACGAGGCGACGGAAGACATCTCCGGTGGCAATGCCTCTGACCCCTCCCTGTGGCTTGCGAAGGGCGGTGAGGCGCGACAAGGCCAGGGCGTCCAACGCAACCGGAGGAGCCTGCGCGCGAGCTGCGACATTCACCACGAATGTGAAGGCCTCTAAGGCACCTTCATCGTCGAGGAGCAACTTGTAGAACTCGACAGTGGCGCCCGACAGGCCAACAGCCGACCCGCGCTTGGAGGTGCGAAGCGCGTCGGCGACTTGTTGCTTGGAGAGCGCGACCTCCTCCTGCGGGACCGGTCGCAGCGGCTGCGGCGGCCGTCTGGAAGGGTCGGTGAGTGCTCGGAGCGTGGCTTCGTCCCCGGGCGCCAACGCGGCCGCAGTGAGGACCTGGCGTGCTCGGGAGAGCTCCCCTCGCCGGACCCGGGCACAGGCCGCAGCTGCGCGAGCCTCCGAGGCATCCGGGGTTGTGGGCTGCCTCGTGCGGGAGGGCACTGCGCCGAGCTGGCCATGCAGGCTGTCCCAACGACCTTCCCGAAAGACTTGCACCCGGCGGAGTAGAACGGCCCGACCTTCTCCACCCGTCTCGACGCAACGGGCAAGGAGCAAGCGCGGCAAAAGCAAGAAGAGCTTCCACGCCCGCACACGCGCGACGTCGTCGCGGCCCTCATGCGCCACCCGAATTGCCTGAAGCGCGGAAACAAGCGCATGGCGGACTCCCGCGGCGAGAAAACGGGGCACGGTGTGCAGGGTGGGCACTTGGCGACGGAGCTCGGCGAGGAGGAGATCAAGGCCGTCAAGCCACTGCCAAGCAGCGCGAGGGAAGTTGGGAAGGGAAACCGGCTGTCGATCCGGCACCTGCGCGTGGTCTGGAACCGGGGCCGCACCAGTATCGCTGCCCGACGAATCATGGTCACGCTGACGCGCCCCAGAAGCCGGCGGAACGCCACGGCCCCGCCCACGGCGGCGTCCCCGCCCGCCGCGCGCGGATGTCTCGGCGGCTTCTCCATGAGGGGAAGCAGCGGAAGCGATCGGAGTGCCGGCCAAGCGCCGACGCCAGCTGCATGCCTCCGTAGCACTCGAGCAAGGCCTCCTGCACGGGCGCGAGCAAGTACGCATCCGGCTCCCGGAGCTGGCGGACCGCCCATCCGACGTGGAGCCCCGCATCCTGGATGCGTGAGACGAGGTCCGGCAGGTGATGCTCGTGTGTTGGCGCGGCCTCCACAGCACGGACTACAGCTGTCACCAGGGTTTGCGGGCTGACGGGCTCGGACGCCATGAGCACGTGACGGGCTTCTTCCCACCAGCTGGCAGCACGCGGGTCTGCTCGCCATTCCGCAAGCGCAGCGACCGCGAGATCCGCTGCAGCTGCATGGAGAAGCGGAACGTACAGCCAGGAGTTGGTGCTTACCCGCACATCGCCTGTAGGTGGGCCGCGCGACGGCCAGAACGCACTGCCACCTCCGCGCCCAAACACGTGTGGAAGCGCCGCCGGCGCTGGCCTGACGGGCTCGGGCGCCCGCAGCTCCTCTGCTGGCCGGTTGCAACCGTGAGAGCAGCGAAGTCGCCCACGTTCGATGGCACGGTCGTATTCCCACCACAGCCGACTGCCGCAACCTCCGCAAGTCTGTCCGGCATTTGCCGGGACATGGATGTCATCCAGCTGGACATCCCGAGCGCAACCAGGGCACAGCCAGGCCGGTCGCCACGCTGCAATGCCCGTTTCGTGCCTAATCGGCTGCGGCGCCCAGTGAAGCACGCCTTGCACGGCTTTAAAAAGGCCGGGTGGTTTGGGGGGTTTCCAAGAGCATCCACTTCGCCTCCACAGCTTTCGCTTCACGTTCGCCCGTTCGGGCCCACGTGAAACATTACCAGGGTCAGACTGTTCCTGCAGCTCCTGGACCGCGGCCGTATACGGACATGGGGGGGTTGGCTAAAGGTTTTTTTTTTTGCCTCGCAGTTTCGGCAGGGCGGATGGTGAAAAAAAACATGGGGGATTGGGGCGTGCTTGAGTCTTGGCACGATTCGATCTGTACATTCGCAAAGGCTCGTACGTACCGGCTTGCAGCAGGCGGACAATGTGCTCTTCCAGCAATATTAGTCCACGTATTGCAACACTGCGGAGTCTTAGCCGGCGACCGGGCCGACGATTTCGTTGCGAAGCAAACAAAATTCGCGACGCGAGCGCTGGGTGGGTGCAGCGCTGGTCCGGCCCCCTCGCAGTCGCGGCCATGCACGCACACGCAGCGCCCTCGTTGAGCTACCGCATGCAGGCGACATGTGCAGTGCAGGAGATGCGACCCGACCTGCACGAGATCCTCGCTGAGGTCCGGGAGCTCTTCGCCGTTCGCCAGCCGGCTGCCGTCAACCTGACCCGGCCCGAGTAGGATGCCGCTGGGACCGCGGTCACTGTCGCAGAAAGGTGCGTGCGTCTTCGCATTTCCCGCGTGGGGAGGGGCTATGGACTGGCTCGGCATGGCATGGCACGTGTGGGGCTTGTGGTCCTAATCCTCCGCGCTTTCGTTTTTGGCTACAATTCCGGGCGGGTGTTAGCAAAGCTTGGGGCACGCCCTGATCACTCGCGGATGGGGGGCTCCGCCCTACTTCACCCACCTACGGGGCGCGGGTTCATGGTGCTCGGCATGCCGATTGGCCACCGCATGGGCGAGCAAGCGGATCAGCGAAGAGCAACGGCTGCTCCGCGAACTGCCTGCCCTGCCGGATCGGCAGTGCGTGTGGCTGCTGCTGGCACTGTGCGCGGCGCCCCGCTGCAACCACGCGCTCCGCACGGTGCCACCCCAGGAGGTCGCCGCACACGCTGCAGCCCATGTAGCGCCATCTGGGACATGTTCCTGGCCTGCATCGGCGGGGCGTCTGAGCCCGGCGCCAGCGCGGCCCGCCAAGTCGCAGAGTGGGCGGGCTGGGCCGTTTAGCACTAGCCCTGCGGCGTATTGGGCGGCCTGGGCCGACTCAGATGCACGACCTCTTCTGCTTACGATAGAAATTTAGGGACTGGCCCCATGGCTGGCAACATTTTGTTGTTCCGCGCACCTTTTTTCCACAAGCTCGGCGCAAGTCCCGGTGCAGGGCTGTTGGTTCTTAGGGGTCAGCCTCCCCGGTTCAAGCCGGCATGCGGCTCGCGAAAGGCGTGCCCTCGGGGTAGCGCGCCTCTGCGAGGACGTCGCTGACGTCGGGCGCGGGCCCGTCGACGTTGGAGGCGACGGGCAGTGCGAGGAGGGTGGCCGCGAAGGCCCGGGCTGCGGAAAGGGCGAGCAGCGGCAACGAAGGCGCTGGTGGCCTGGGCCCGGAATGCTGCCGGGACCGCCCGAGCCCGACATCGAGCGAGCAAGCGCACGAAGCGTGCTGCTGCGGGGCTCCAGCGGCCTCCGACCTCGATGGCGAGGACGACGAGCCGACAGCGAGCCGACCGCTCTTTTTTTTTTCCCGCACCTTTTTCAACCCGCATCGTCATGTCCGTCGGCCTTGTTCACGGCCTCTCCAGGAGCAGGTCCCCCAAGGGGACCTCCGCCCCATCACCTGCATCCCGTGGGTGGACTGGCAGCTCGAGGAGAGTCTGCGCGTGGGCCCGCATGGCTGCGAGCGCTGCCAGGGCCGTCCAACGACCCGTCAAGGCCCGAGCAGTGGCGACCTGCGCCCAAGGGGCCCGCGTTCGGCCGCGGACCCGCGCGAGGCGGCGGAGGAACGCAAGCGTGCTCGTGCTGAAGCGACCCCCTACCTCAAGGCCGAAGACGACGAGGCGACATCGGCCCCGCCCCCCCAGCTGCAGTTCAGGGTACGTGCGTTGCTTACGCCGGGCAGCCTGTTCCAGCGCGAGCCCTGGCCGCGCGTCTGCGCCGGGCCTCGCCTGCCCGTCGCGTCGGACAGGGCTGACCAACGTGGTGTCCACCGCAATCTGCGCCCCCTGCCACAGAGGCAGGCCGTTGGCCACCACCTCGATCCTCCGGCCATCCGTCGCCGGCGCGTCGAGGTTGAGGTCCCGAAGGGCGACGCTGGTGGCCACCCGTGCTCCGGCCTCACGGCAAATGCGCGCCGCAGCCCGTTCAAGGGGCCCCGCTCTCTGCGCGAGCACCCCGACCTGAGCACACGCAGATCTGTGGTCCCCGAGTTCATCAAGGGCCCCCCCGCAGCGGCAGCGGCGAGGGGCGAGTGGCAACGCCAGGCGCAACCGCCTCAGGAGAAAAATTCGGAACTCCCCATTGTCGACCACGAAGTCTGGGCCGCTCGGGACGACGACGGTGAACGCGCAGCTCGCACCTTCGCCGCTCTGGGACAGCAGCAGCGCTCGGGAATGATGACCCGCTCGCAGAGGGGGGTGGGTGGGGGGGGGTTCGAAATAGGTGGGCCACCTATTTCTGGATCTGGGTGGGGGGGGGGGGGGAGGTAACCACCGTGCCAACACAGCGTTTGCTGAGAGTCTTTTGCTCACTAGTAGGGAATGGGGGGAACCTACGCAGAAATAGGTGGCAAGGCAGGGGCGGGTTGTGGGAATAGTAGAGCAGGGCACATACGAACCGTGGGGTGACCCCCTTTCCCTCTACCCATTTAGGCTTGGTTATTGCGGGAGCATACAGAAAAGCTGCTCGTAAGCGAACCTACACAGAAATAGGGTGGGTTCCCTAGTAGTAGCACCCCGCTATATACTCCGACAGTATCCCCCCACCTAAATGAGTAGAAGGAAAGGGGGGCACCCCGCGGTTCGTATGTGCCCTGCTACACTATCCCCACAACCCGCCCTGCCTTGCCACCTATTTCTGTCAGGTTCCCTACCATTCCCTCCTACTAGCCTCTCTATATACTCTCACAGTAATCCCACCTAGCAGAAGTAGCAGAAGTAGATCTAGAAGTAGAAGTAGAAGTAGTAGAAGTAGTAGAAGTAGTAGAAGTAGCAGAAGTAGTAGAAGTAGTAGTAGTAGTAGTAGTAGTAGTAGTAGTAGTAGTAGTAGTAGTAGTAGTAGTAGTAGTAGTAGTAGTAGTAGTAGTAGTAGTAGTAGTAGGAGTACTTCATAGAACCAAATGATACGTGCCACCTATTTCCCCCCACCCCCCCCACGGTGGTAGAATAGGTGGCGGGCTCCAGGAAAAATAGGTGGGAATCCACGTTACCTCCCCCCCCAACCACCTATTACGAGACGGTCACCATGCTCGGGATGCAGGATCCAAGTCAGAGAAAAGCATCTCGAACGCGCGCTTGTCCACAGCAGCTCCGGCTCCTTGCTGCCAGCCCCGCCTCGTTGGGGCAGGGGGCCCGTCGTCGTCTCCGAGGTTTGGAGGGGCCATTTCCTCCAACAGCGCTGCCCACGTGGGCGCCTCGTACCCTTGCAGGCGCAGGGTTTGCGCAGCCTGGTCGGCCTCCCTGACACTGGGGGGCACACCGGTTGCCGCAACACTCAACAGGGGCCGCATTAGTGTGGCCAATGTGCCTGGATGGCACTCTTGCAGCGCGGTGACCGTGTCTGCCCATGAGGCCCAATATGCTGCATGCCTGTGCTCCCTGGCAGGCGACAAGCCCAAGCCCCCCATGCGAAGCGGCAGGCGAGCACGCCTCGCACTATTGGGAGGGAGCTCCAACGGCACATCCCCCCCAGACAACAAGGTCGCCAGGCAGCGCAGGATGGCCTCATCGTGCGACGCCGCGTACGCCTCCGTTGCGCTCGGCGGCACCGTGCGCAGCAAATAGTTGCACCGTGGCGCCGCACAGAACAACAGCAGAAGCCACGCGCTCTGGAGGTCCTGCACTGCCGGCAGCCGCGCGAGAAGGACGTCGTGCTGGCCTCGCTTGTCTTCTAGAAAGCGCGCGACGTACTCTCTACTACCTATGGGAGTCCCCAGCACTACAAGGCCCTGCTCCTCAGGCGGCAAGGTCCAGCTCCCGGTCCAACAGGGTGGGTCGCCCGCGCGGCGGGGCAGCGCAGCCACCAAGCCTGGAGGCTCCTCGCCAGCGGCGTTCCATGCCCTGGTCTTACCGAGATGGACCTGGACGTTGGCGTGCTGGGACAGCGCCTCTTGGGCAGACCGCAGCGCGGGGAGCGTCCTCTCCGGAGTGGACGTGACGTAGATGTCATCCAGGAAGGCAAAGAGTCGCTCGTCCTGCCGCAACCGGGAGTGAAGGTGGAGAAGGGCAGCATGTTGGCCGAGCGCGTATAACCCCGGCATCAGCGGATCGCCTTGTTCCCCTCCCTCTCCCTGCAGCACCTCGTGCCCCTCCCCCCGCCCATCATAGTAGATGTAGCGGCTGGGCTGGCCATAGAACAAGTGCGCGAACGGGAGCAGGCCGGCCAGCGGGGCGTGGGAGCTCAGCGCCCGCAGCATACTGGCACGGGAGATGTGGTCGTACGCGCCCACGCCATCTATGCTCAGCACCGTTGTTCGAGGGTCGGCTTCCGTTGCGGCCCGCAACGCACGGGCCAGCGCTTCTGCGCCGGCGCGCGTGCCAAGTGCGAACTGGAATGGCGCGCACGCCTGCCGAAACTGTTCCCCGAACTGCTGCGCCAGCGTGCGTGCCACGAGCCGGCGAAACACATCCCCCATCACCAATGCCCTGACTCCGCCCGTTGGCTTGGTCAGCGCGACCATCCGACCTATCCTCAGCGCACATGCGATCTCTCCCGGCGGTTTGGAGAGGCGCGCAAGTCGGAGCGCCGCGCTCCTCGCGGCGCTGGTGGTGCCGCGGTCGGCCGCTCGAGTCGACGGCAGACACGAGCGTTGTATC